GTGGAAGGGGTCCCTGCCTGTGGCAGGGGTTAGAGCTGGAGGAGCTTTGAGGTCCCTTCCAACCCAAACCAGTCCATGACATGTATCTGCTTCCAACAGGACTGGGCTGTAACAGGCTGAGGGCATCCAGCTACGATCACCGTGTTCCTTTTGGAAGGGGTTGAAGTATTGCTGCATAGGGCTTATCTTCACAATGTTGAATCACGTTGCAGTAATGAAGCCTGCAGTTCGTTATTAATCATTGTAGAGACCTGCCTATGGGTACTTACTCAAATCAGTTCCATTAAAAGACCTTCATTCAGTGCCATCTAGTGGTTTTCACAGTGCGATCCAGGCAGCCTTGCAGGAAAACCAAATTTAATTGCTAGAGTTGTATGTGCTTCAACGTATTTTTATTTAGAGGGCAAAGAAGCAAACTGTTCAGGCTTTGTTTTGCAACATTTCACCCAGAGCTGTAAACCCCGGGTACTAAAACAGTGCCCATGTTCTGAATGAACAGCTAAACTGACTGAGGCTGGTTACAAGTGGCAAAGCCATCTTCCCACTCAGAAAACTACCTTCAGTGCAAAAGCTTTCTGGAAATGAGTATTCCAGGAACGAAGGTATCTTTACTGTCATACACACTGGCATGATAATAAGGTCAAAACCACAGTGCTGAGCTTCGTAAGGAGAGACCAACATCAATTAACTGTGTGGGCAACAGACCGTGGGGTGAAATTGCTGCGGATATAAATATAGACTTGTAGTAACCTTTGGCTGTTCCACAAGCAGCATCCATCCTAGTTAATGGCATCTTTCATGCTTCAAGTGTTTTGTCTTGGCAGGGCTATTACAGTGGTTGCCCAAAGATTGGTTTGTGATCACTTCTAAACTGACAGCTTAAGAGGCATTTGTATTAGGGTCTCAAATAGACACTGGGTTTTGGTGAGGAGCATGAGAGGCTTAACAGAAACTGTGCTTACTTACAAAACTTGCAGTTGGGTGTATGTTGGAAGTCAGATAATCACAGCCTTAAACACTATGAGAGCGATATAATTTAAGTCTGAAACTGCTCATTTGGTTTTGGCAGGGTTTTTGACATCCATCACCTGAGTAAATGTAGTGATGTCTGTGCCCACATAGTACAGATTTCCCTCGTGTGCACTGGGGCACTGTCCTGGGAAACAGGAGATCCAATTTTCATCTCAATCCAATGGAAGTGGGAGCATGCTTGTGTGCAGCAGGGTTAGTGGGTGGTAAATTTGATCTACACACTTCAGTGTAGCTATGAGGACAAACTACCTCAGGTTCCCTCACACCTTCCACAGATAACAGCATGCGTGACGGCAGCTACTGCAGCAGAGCTTCTTACCATGTCACCACCATCTGTTCTCTTCCTCTTCAGTGACCCAGCTCAGGGAGCTGGTTCGTCTGGAAACTCATCATTTTTGCTGGTCAGTACAGCTTTCCTTTCAATCACATCCTTGATGTGGAATAATTGATGGCTGCGCAAGCATCGCTACTGCAAGCTGTGTGTTGTGGGGATGGTGTGAAGACCTCGAGTGTTACACAGCGCACATCAGGCTAAGCTGTCAAGAAATGGTGTTTTAGATCCTGACAGAATGTCTGAAAATGAATATTAAAAGGAAACATTATCAGGATAACTTGTATCTGTGTCTGACTCTTCTCTGTGGACAAGGGGTTTATCAGAGCTGATTGTTGGTCTATAGGTACCATCTACTACAAATAATAATCCTGCTTTTCCTAAAGTGGTGTTTTGCTGCCAGAGGGGAACTCACTAGCTAACACTTAATTAGGTAAAGAGTTAGCACTCTTTTCTTACATTGCCTTGTTATGTTAAACCAAGGAGGCAGTAACCAGTGATTAAGTACAGAGAGGTTTCTCCTCTTTGTAACTCTTCTGTTGGGTTTCCACGGGGCTGGAGCCTGTAGCTGTTATACAAAGCAGTGAGAGTGGAGTCTTCACAGTGTGAAAAATGACAGCACCAGAGCCAGATGTGCTAAAAAATCAATAACCTTCCTTATGCTGACAAAGGAAATTCCACAGAATGGTTCACCTTGCCCTGAGGGGACCATCTGTGGCAGAACCCATGACCTGATGCTGATTAGAGACTTAATTATAACTAACACTGATTGAAATAATAAAGTGCTGTAGCTGTGTGTAACTTTAGCTTATCCTTGAGGTTTGTATTCATAGCAGAAGCACATGAGAGTGTCAGCAGAAAGCCACATTGAACTGTGTCAAATGAAGCAGTACTTCCTGAGTGAGCTTTAATAGTGACAGCACAAATTAAAGTACTGATACTAAAGCTGCTGCTAAGGTGAATGTCAATTGTAAATGTTACATTAACACAAACTGTTAATGGGCTTGTCTCATTCAAAAGAGAAACTATAAATGGTACATCCTAGAAATCATATTTACTCACTCCTTAAGACTCCACATGAACAAGACATTTGATGGAGTCCTGGCTTTCAGTAGTTTGTGCCTTTTTTTCTACCTTGCTATAAATAGGAGATAAATAGTAAACCACTAATTATTCATGCCAGTTCTTTGCTAAATAACAGCCAATATTTCTGTAAATTTATATTATTCCCATATGCCCTTATGGGATTACACTTGTATTACCTAAGGGTAAAAGAACTGGGTTTTGGAACACTGAGAAAGATTGCAAAGGAAACAGCTCTTTTCCTCTAAATCCAGTCATGGTAATGTGGAGAGATTTTATGGATATTATATTGGGGCAATAGATGGAATAAATAATATCAGATTGTTTAGCTAAAAATAAATGTTAAGCAGAATATCACTCCAGTACATGGAGATTTCAATGTACAGAATTATGAAAGCCTGAAGTATACAGCAGAGTTAGTTAACTTCTGGCTTGAAATATTGCCAGTCTTTAAACAAAACATGTGCAGCATCTGGCAGAAACATCAGGTTTGTAACAGGATCTATTAGCACTACATCAATAGACAGGCTATCCAGTTAGAGGACAAGCAAAAAGTAGCTGCATGCAAAGCAAGGCAAATGGAGAATTAGGAAACTGGGGGGTTTAAAAGCTCCTATGAGGTGTAGCCAAGGATTTTACAGTGGGAAATTTGGTCTCCAATGGAGCTAAATTGTGAAGTCCAGTAACACGTGGCAGGTTTGTTTTCCAAAGGCTGTAAGAAGCTAGAATAATAGAACGGTAGTGTTGGTTGATTTAGTCTTTTGTTTAGAATTTCCTATAGTAAGACACAGGAAGATAAAAGTAGATTCAGAAGTGTTTAGGCTTATTTCCTTATTTCAGTCTCACCCTGCAGCCCCATTAAGACAAAAAGAGAAAGGGAAGATACCAGTGCCTTGTATTTGTTGTGTTTGTACACAGCTCACTACTAGAGACTGTTCTATTAAGACAAATAAAGTAAACTAAGGTATCCTGAGTCTGTTTTACTATAAACGGTATTTCTGTGCTGTTATATTTCCATTTCAGTGGTCCTATCCTGGTGTAAAACTGGTACAATGAAATGGAGAATCCACTTGAAAATTAGGGCTTATAGCCTTGCAGCTTCTAACATGAAAAGTGTAGTAAAATAAGGCCAGGCCTGATGAGATTAAAGTGGACTGTCATGAAACCCATTTAAGATAACGACAGAGGTTGAATTCCAATGCCTTTGGGATTTATAGTTTGGGCTTATTATTCTGATGAGAGCAGTCAACAGAGAGAGACTGCGAATTTTTCTTCTCCTGTAATGAATTCAAATACTGGGGCATGGAGGGATGGATTTCCAGCTGTGTGTTGTTAGGGGCTCTGTGCAGCTGGAGGGCTTAGAAATTCCTGGAATTCAGAAATCCTCTAACTTCCAGCACTGTTTTGTTTAGTTCCTATGTTGCCACCCCTCTTCTGTACCTTAATGCACAAATATCTTGGTTTGAGATATAAGTCCCTTAGTTTAAGCAACAGCAAACCTATTGGGTTTTTCTACCACCAACTCTCACAGAGCGAAATTTGGGTTCAGGGTACACAAAATCCATAAAGATAAGTGTTGTTCAACATATTTATAATGGGAGGTAGGAAGATTTGCCTCCTGTATTTCCTGATAGGAAGACTCTGTGCCAGCAGCCCTGCTGAGCCTTCTAGGGATGCACAGGCTGCCCATGATAGGCTGTCACTGACTTGCCCCTGCGTGCAGAGGTATAAAATGAGTGGATCTGAGATTAGAAGACCTATCTCATAAAGGCAGTCTGTCCGAATATTACAAAGGGATTCTGCTTGAACAACATGAAGAATAGAAAATCAGTACAATAGAAAAACCAAGCTCTCCCAGCATGCTTGAAAATGTGCAGATCACTTAGATATGACCACATACACTACAGCAGGAGTGGATCTGCGGAGGTAAAGGGTTAGTCTGACCCCCACACACCGTACACTTTGGGGGGCTTTACCTCAAACTCACTCTTGTCTGGTTCTGTGGCCTGGACACACAGTTTCATCTGACAGAAATCCAGGTCAAGATGACTCTGGGAGACAGAGCAAAGTAAGGCAGGAGGGGATGTTTGAGCAGTTCACTTCAGAAGTATGCTGTAAATCCAAATAGAACTTTAATGCAGATCCACCTCAGTTTCTTGATGTTAAATCACTGGAACAATGAGGAATGCTGCACTGCTAAGATGCTTTACCCATAGGTTGCAAAGACTGTTGCAAGTATGGTTAAAGATGATGATAACTTTCTCCGAGAGATGGTCACTGGCTGGTCCCCTTGACTTCCTTAGGAACTGAGAAGGGAAGCTCTTTACACAGCAATCAGTTCTTACCCAGAGATTCAAAGTAAATCACTGTCAGAGCAAGGGCTGGTGTAGATCTGGTCCGTAATGCTTATTCTTCTTTTACTACACTGTACTACAAACCTTAGCTTTCTTTCATTTAAGTGTGCCTTTTGATGAATTTAGCAATTTTTAACATTCAGGACAACAAAAAAAAAGATCAGAAATCTTCTTGGTTGATGGTGTTAGGACTGTAAGTGGGTTAGGACCATAGGTGGGTTTGCTTGCTTGCTGTGGATGCAAGTACTTGACAGAGGGAGGTCTCAGTCACAGGTCAAAAAACAAGTCACCAATAACAAAACCATTCTCACAAACGATTCTTGCACCAACTCTGATGACTCCTGTCCTGCCCAGTCCAGGAATTCCAGCCAGGGATCCATGGTCATGCTTGGGAACATGAACAATCCCTTTGAGCTTATGCTGGGAAGTTCAGCTGTTGCATCTTCTTCTCCCACACAGTTTGGTTTCTTTATTGTACATTTAAAAACCCCAACTCCTGATGAAAACTCCACCATAGCCAGGCACCTCTTTCCAGGATGCCAGTAGTGGGGGCTTGATTGCAAAGCTTGGTTTCTATCCTTCTTCATCCCAGATGGACTAAACACTTTCCTCTTCTTTTGTGATGCTGTAATCCGTTAGCAATGTGACACTGATTTCTGAGCCACACGTGCTGCCTGTGATGGACGGGGCTCTGGTCGGCGTGTTGCTGTGGGTACCACTGGGAGGCTTTGAACGAAGCTTTGCCTTACAGCACGAGACTTGCTTTTTAAAGTGTTGCCTGAAACTTTTACTCAGCCAATAAAGAGCAAAAGGATTGATGCAGGAATTGCTGAAGGCCAAGGCACGGGAAAAAATAGTAGCTATCAGATGGAAGGTGGAAGCATCGACAGAAGCATGGTATGTGAAGGAGCGGTATAGGTAGAGGATGTGGTTGGGCAACCAGCAGAAGGCAAACAAAGCAACAAGCACCAGCACTGTTTTTGCAACTCTCTTGCGGGATTCAATCTAGGAGAAAGTGATGCAGATCTGGTGTTAATAGCAAATAGTTACATGGGTTTATGTAGTTGGGGTCATTTTCAAAGGGGCCTAAAAAGCTAAATCCATTAAGAACAAAAAAAAAAAAAAAGCAAAATGGAAAAAACCTCCAAAACACCGAAATCAAAAACTAAACCAAGAAACCAACAGAAAAATAAATCTATATTTTTAACAAGGTATTTCCACACATTCCCTTTCCATTATAAATCTCATGTCGAGCTCATCTAGTCTGGGATTTACAAGTATAATAGTTAATGTGTCAGCTCACGTGGACGAGGTCTCTGTTTACAATACAACACTTAAACTCCTGAGTTTAATATGGCCATAACAAAGCAAAACAAACCCCATCCCTCTCTAGGAGAGCACACACACTCACACTATGCATGTGCATACTGGAGTTTGGATTGCTAATATGGGGCTGAGTTTATGGAGGATGAAACTCCCGCTATCAGGTAAAGGTTTAATACTCAAGACTTCAGACTTAATAAGACTTTAGTGCTTGATCATAGCTTACCTGCTTACGGGCATGACCGTGTTCTTCTGCTGGCATGTTGGACGTGCTTTTATATAAAGTTCTGGCGATAAGAAAATAGTAGACTGAAATGACAGCTAAGGGTATAATATAAAACACTAAGAAGCAAACCAGGGAGTGAGCCTCCTGCAGGATCTTCTCAGTCACAGGATAGGGGGCACATGCCTCAAAAGTTACATTCTTCTCAGGGTTGCTGAAAGAATACAAGTCGGAGAAGACAGCCTCTGGGATAGCGAATATCATGGAGACGATCCAAACGCAGCCTGCTTTACAGCAGGTCTTCAGGAGCGCATCTGAAGTCTGCAGTTCCAAGGGCTTAACGATGGCTCTGTACCTAAAACCAGCCAATACCATGGTCAGAGGAACACAGGAATAATGCAAGCACAAACAGTGCGAACCTGAGGATAAACCATCCCTGTTCTCACTAAGCTGAGGGTGGGAGAATCATCTTGGATATGAAAATAGGTGCTAGCTCTTTGCAATTAAGATGGAAATACAGGAGGTAAATTTAAACATGTATTTTAATGACTTGGCTGGCAGGACTTGTCATTAAAGCTGTCCTAAGTAAAGACAACTTCTAAGTTTGGATTAGAATCAGTAAAGGCAGTCATCTCCCCTATGTTTATGGTGCTGCCTAGAAAGGTAAATGAGGGAATTAGCATGTACAACTGGTAAAGGTATGAAATAGGTTAACTGTTTTATCAGTACATGAAACCAAGCATGTAGACCCCTCCTTTCTCCCATGATTTTAAGATCTCAGATGAGTGCAGTGATCTGACTCCAAGCAATACTCCAGTACTCATTCATATGTATAAAATAGGAGCTAACGCTGCTGTTGATTCATGGCTGTGATTCTGCAGCATGTGGACTGAATCAGACAGAGGAGAAAAATCTGGGTAAATGGATGGATGTGTGAAAATCTGTGTGGAAATGGGATGTGGGAAAAGAACTAACTGCCATGAAGGAGGATGAAGCACAGGAAATTATACCCTGCTCCCAGAGTATCAGGGACTCTTGATGATGGAGAAAGAAGAGAACCCTCCGGGGGCACAAGGCTGGCATGAAAGGAAAGGCAGTGAAAAAGGATCCAGAGGATGAGACATGTTAGTTGTACCATTATGCACAACCTGAGGATCTGCTCTTTTTCTCCTCTAGGCAAATTTACATAGAAAATTGCAAGCTGGACTGCTCTTTATCGAATACATACTGGTTTTATTGACTTGGAGCTCTTCTAGCATACTGGAACATGATAGTCTGGCACAACTGATGTTCTCACTAAGTTTATCATATAGTTACACTGTGAAAATGCATCATAGAGTATTTACATAACAGCTACCATGAAGAATTAACTGTCTAAATCATAGAATTATAGAATAGTTGGGGTTGGAAGGGTTGAAAGAGACCTTTAAAGGCCATCTAGTCCATGACTGCATCTGAACTGATGTCATACAAGACCAAGACCTTGGAGCTATAATATACAGTTCATTGGAAACATGAGCTTAATATTCAGCAGGAGTTAGAACCCACACCAAACCCTAAAGGAACAGCAAGAAAGCAAAATGTTAGGAATTATTAGGGGAAAAAAATGAAGATAAAAAGAGACTATTAAGAAATTATCTGTATCTCTGGTCCATGCAACTCTTGAACACCATGTGCTGCTCTGCAAACCTTAACTCAAACCCCCCCCCATAGTGAGGATCAAATATATATATATATAACATGAACAGCCTTGAGAGATGGATAGGGATCATCGCTGTCTCTTCTGGCACAAGAGTCAGGGTCATCAAATGAAGCCAAAGCATAGTAAGAAAAAGGAGTTGTTTATGCAACAGGCAGTGAAACTCAATGCTAAACAAGTACAAGAAGAGGCTGAACAAGGATCTACAAGAGAAATCCCCTGAAGTTATTAAATAGACAGAAACCTCATTTGCTCAGAAGGTGATCTGAAGGCTTAGGGCTTAAGTGTAGTGTTGGACAGTGATTTTTATTCTTCCTATGTGCCTTTTGTGGTCCTTCCACTGGAGGCTGGTATTGGCCCACATAGACCCTTGGTCTTACCCAGTGTGGCCATTCTTGTGCTGGAGTACAGTAACAGTAGCATTGATTAAACTCTGGACTTGCTGTTAGATACAATCCACAGTTACTGGCATACAAGATGGAAATCTTTTTCTCTCTTAATATTAATATTTATTTCAGGTTTTTCTGCTTCTTGGCATGCTGATGCTGATTGAACTGAAATCTCAGATTTGTTCATTCAGGAAAGAAGTGCATGGCAAAGCAGTCAGATGGGAGCGCTGATCCCAACTAACAGTGCTCTCATCATCACCTAAGTTCAATTTCAGAACCCCTGGGCTGAAGAATCTCTGGGAAAGATAAGAGAACTATAAGAGACAATACTCAAAATGTGTCACATCACACTAAGCCCTCATCAAACTGAAAATTACTGTGTAGATTACTGTATAGTGCTGCAGTAACCATCAAAGCATGAGAGTCATCTGTTTGTTCCCCAATCTGTTCTGTGTTTTCCTTTGGCTTGCTATCCCCACATGTCAATGTTTTATGTTGTAGGATTTAAAGCCTCTTTGAGTGCACAGGACAAAGGATTTCCACTCGGTCATTTTCAGGTTTATTTTTCATCTTCCCTGACTACTTTAGTGCACCACTAGATAGCACCAATCTACTGTCTTATCCCTGCATTAAGCCATTTCCCCTTTCTGTACAATAGAGGAAAAGAACCCCACAGTACTGTACTTCCAGCTAATAAAAGGTCAGAAGACTTTCAGAGCCTTTCTCACTTCACTCCATTAAAAAGAACTGCTCTGAGTTTTCTAACACACATTTTTAAATGAAATGGGACAATGGTTGATTTGGGGTACGTTTTTGGTCTATTACAATTAAAACATGCACAAACTGGTCACTTCTGCGCTTTTATTCGTTACTAACTTCACACCAGAGGTATGTCCTGGCAAACGAGTTGCATGAGACCCACCTGTCAGCACTGAGAACAGTCAGGGTAAACACTGAGACTCCAACTGAGGTTAACTGGATGAAAGACAGCAGCTTGCACCCAATCCTTCCAAAGAGCCAGGTATCCACGATGTACCGGGTGGCATCTATAGGCACACAAGTCAATAAAAGCAGGAGGTCTCCAAACGCCAGGCTCGTGATGAAGATGTTTGGAACTGTCTGCATGGATTTAATCTTGAAAAAGACTTTGATGAGTATAGCGTTTCCAAGGAGCCCCACGGAAATGATCACCGAGTATGTAATATAAATGATGCACAGTATTTCCAGTCCTGGGAAGGAGTCTTCGGTCCATTCTTCAGTTGTGGTTTCATTATCGGGGATTGATTTTAGCTCTGTACCGTATGTAGACGCACGCAAAGTCTCATTAGTTGAAGGCGAGTGTAGTTGAGACATCTCTTCAACTGCTTCTCCTCCCCAGGCTGGACTTAAATCGATCCCATTAACATTTAGCTTCCAGCATATCAGCAAGAGAAAGATACAGATTTGCGGCTGAAATCAAGATTCCCATTGAACATTAACTACTTTCATCCCCTTCTGGTTTTCAAAACATGCCTCGGAGAAATGCACACGGATCTTGTTCTGAACTGTGTAGGAGGTGGAGAATTTTGTTATTGGCTTTTCAGCTGGTGGAGCAGAGAGGGAGGAGGAAAGGAGGAAAGTGGAGTTTCTTTAAAGATTTTAGCTGAAAGGATGGTTTCTGTTGGGAGTATCTGGCAAGTACATGTTGTGATGACTGCAGCGTTAGGGTTTGCATCGGTTGCAAATGGTTGTTAAGATCTGTCAGTATACTCTTAAGAAAGAAATCAAAGGAAAACCTGAAATAGGTTTCTCAGCAGTACAGGTAAGCATAGAATAGACTAATTCACCACAAAGCTCACAGTGTATCTTAGTGACAGATAGAATAACTCAGAATATAGGTAGTGTTTGCTGGAAAAGACATAGAGACAGCCTGTGCTTCTCTGTGCTCTGTTTAATCCTTTTATCACAGAAATGCAGTAACCTTCCAAAAGGCAATATAAGATTGATATTTATGGCCATACTCCTGCTAACTCTTACATTAAAGATGAGGTTTGTCCCTTGAAATAATCCCGTTGCCATCAAAACCACAACTCATGCTGGAGTTTGAACAGGTTTATAGGTGCTGTACGGAAGCCTGTTATCTTGCAGTAATCCATGTAGTTACTGGGTTTGGATGGTACAACAAATGCTTCAGATCATCTAGGAGAGAACCATCTTTTCCTGATGCTGCCTCAATCAACCATGTTAGTACTATGTGTGTCAACTCTTAAACTCTGCCTTATGATGAGCTCCTGATTATCTTTAATAAATAAGGTACAAGGAACGGGACCTACTTAGTTAAATCTCCTGAAACTAAGAAAGCCAAGATCAAATCTCTAAATAGTGCAAGTGGAAAAGATAGCAAAGGACTGAGCTTAATGCCTTGAAAATGAAGATCACAGGCTCAGGCTGGAGGATATTTTCCCCCAGCCAGTTCTCAGCTGTGAAGTTCAAGTGGAGAAGGTTCCCTGCTCAGGTCACAGAAGCAGTCTTATCTTAAGCTGCACACAGACCCAGCCATACCAAATCAAGTTGATTTCATTGACTCAAAAAGACTCCTCTGTGAAAAGTCTTATTTTCCCTCTCCCATTCCCAATCCTTGCGAACACAACTATGCCATCAGTATCGAATGGTGATAGACCAGATGAGAGATGGTCAGCAGACTGAAGTGTGGCCAGGTGGGAGAAAGTCACTGATCCAAAAAGGACGAATGGGTTAAACATCCCAGTTCCATTTTTTTTAGAGTGCTTTTAGAAGAGAAGTTCTTGTCACGATGAACCATACTATAGCTTATGCAGGAGCACTGTGTAGGTTGCTCACACATTTAGGTACCTTTGAGGATGCCCAATTATGTTGTCCACCCACAGTGGCGTAGTACTGTGGATTATATTTAATATAGAGTTCGGCAAGTGTAGCAGATTGTGACAGCTTAATGTCAGGTACTTACATAAAACGTTTAGATTTCCTCTACAGGAGAAGGAGGGTATCAACAAACACTGGCAACTGATTTCTTTCCACCAAGTGTCGAATACTCAAGGGTGGCATCTGAATGAAACATCAGGTGTTTAGCTGAAACTGGCATTTAGGATGAAGGAAACTAGTTACTTGCTTCTAATTGCAGTAAAGGTTGGTTGATGCACCAAAGTTCAGGATAGAGGACCTGAACTGATACCCCTCTGTGTAAGAGAGAATCCAGAGGACCAAGAGGGTGTTGAGTTATGAGATGCTCCCAACAGTTGGTCTGGGGATGAGGTTAGAAGGGAAAGGTGACAGACATTCCCAACCCCTATTTAAACCTCTTAAGGACACCAACATGTGCCATGGATGAAAGCATCCCATGAAAGTAGCAAGGGCTTAAAATTCTGCTTACATCTGGTTACATGTGCTGTTAATTCCAAACTGGACCCGAATTCATGTATATAGAATGTATATGACCCTGAATGCTCAGTCTGGTGCTTCACACTTTGGAAGCCTGCGTTGCCTGGAAGCACAGACACATTCTCCCTGCTCTGTCTCTAATAGGACACAGTACGTGTCTAACCCAGTTCACAGCAGCATACTTCGGTTTCTCTTTCTACTGAGAGATTGTATTTTCCCCAGCTTTCTGCCTCCTTGGGGGAATCTGGCAGAAGGAAGCTCCTTCGTTTCCCACACTTCTTCCTACAGTCCTCGTATTAGAATCAGAATACTATTACTGCAGGAACCTTCATTCCTCACTCACGCCCACCCACTACCTTCTCAGCCTCCTCCAGACTCTGAAAGGCTGTGGCCAGCCGCTCTCGGGCACCATCCAGCTCCTTTTCCATGAGCTATTCAGCCACATTCACTTCTTATGGAGCATAAGATACTGTGTTAGTCAATCATTAGGGGAGAGGGACTCTTCATCAGGGACTGTAACAATAGGACAAGAGGGAATGGCTTTAAGCTGCCCGAGGGGAGACTGAGCTGAGCTCTTAGGCAGAAGCTCTTCCCTGTGAGGGTGCTGAGGCGCTGGCACAGGGTGCCCAGAGAAGCTGTGGCTGCCCCATCCCTGGCAGTGCTCAAGGCCAGGTTGGACACAGGGGCTTGGAGCAAGCTGCTCCAGTGGAAGGGGTCCCTGCCTGTGGCAGGGGTTGGAGCTGGAAGAGCTTTGAGGTCCCTTGAACACAAACCAGGCTGCGGTTCTATAGCATTCTCAAGACCAAACAACAGCCTGAAGGACATCCAGTAAACATGAAATCTGCAATTTGTTTATGAGGGTAGAATTTCGGTGTTTCTGTTCATCAGTTTTGTGTGCTCTTCGTTACTGACATGGGTAGAAACAAGGGAGGAAAAAACCCACTGTGTTTTTAACACAGATTCTGATAGCTTTCAGTTGTGCAAATCCAGCTGAAAAGGAGCACAGTGGCATCATCACTGCAAACAGTAAACAACTCTAAGGCATTCTTTTAGAGCAGTTATCTTCTGGTGTGAAGAGAAAAGCAATTTGGGTAATTCTGGCTATTGTTTCAGGTACCACGCTTCAAAGAAAATGAATGTTCCTTTTGAGCTCCATGCTGCAAAAAAAATGGAGTCAAATACTGAAGAGTATAGCATCTAGCTGTGTTTTTAATGCAAATCTGTTTGAATGCAGTGTGAATCCTGTCTGAAGTCCTATGTGCTGCATAGAGTCACCCGCTCAGAAAAAGCTCTTTGGGTACCATTTGCTGTGCATCAAGCCAAAATACAGAGAGGAGAGCCAAAACCTTCACTCCATCACAGAAGCAGATTTGCCAAAATGGTAATTATTTTGTGTAGTGTAATGATGTTATTTCAGCATACACTGAAATAATTGTCATGCTGCACTGTTATTTATACAAGTATGTCAAAATGCTTTGTAGCTACAGTGCCAGGAGCACAAAAGTGAACTGCAGCTGCATTAGCCAGCTTGGGGTGGGGGGGTTAGGATTATTTTAACTCACTTTCTTAGGTCATTATTTGTATCTTTTCTGCATAGAACTATTTAGTTGTCTTCATTCCTCTTTTATGTCTCAAATTCCTTTTCAACCCTTGCTTTGATTGTCTCCCCCAGCATCGTGGCCATCTGTTTATTGCTGGCTGGTTTATCTTTCTGTCTCTCCACTGACGTTTATGTTCTCTGGGTGTTAACAGCAGAGAGATACCAAACAGCTTGTCTATCCCAGCCCTGCATTGTGGTAGTCGCTGTTGTGGCATCCTCTCTTATAAAAGGCTTTTCTCAGATGAAGATCTCTTCTACAGCTGAGCCCAAATGCTATCCATGTGCCCAGCCTGTTCAGCGCAGAGCAGGACTCTGCCATTGGGTCACCACAGACACATTCCTCTTACACCTCCCTCGACCTGCTGGAAAAAGGAGGGGACAAACACTATCATAACTCGTCAATACAAAGAACAAAGCTTTTATCTGACAGCTTCTATATGGGCTGTGTGACTTGTGTGACTGCGCCCCGTCCATTTCCCAGTGTTCAAGCAGCCAGGTGTTGAATGGGAAAGCCCAAATGTACACCTGAAGTGAGAGCATCAATGTCAGAGACAGCAGTCCCTGTTTAAAGTAAGTTACTAACACACCCAGGGCTGTTTCCACTGTCTAAATCCAGGCTATTCAGCGGAGTCAGTGGGACTCAGTCTGCCTGTGACAGGATCTCAAGTGCTGACATTAATCGATGGCTTCAAATACCTTTTATCCTGTTTCTCCATTCTTGCATCCCTTCCAGCCTCCTTTTCCAAGAGTTTCCTCAGCCAGTTTCAGCATGGGAATGGCAGGGAAATACTGGTGTCATTTCTTAGAAGAGAGAGAAAAATAAACTCTGGAATGTACCCTTGAATTCCTTCCATTACAGCAACAATCAGGCAATGGAGTAATACAGCAAGCACAGTTCTTTCAGGCATCCTTGAAATGCTCAATAATCCATTTAATTTAGAACCATTAGAATGTCATTACAGGCTAAATACTTTCTGATACCTCGAAGCACACAGTATTGTGCATTAAGACTTAACCATCATCTTATGCAATAGGTAATTATCTTCCCAGTGTTTTGATTTTTAATCTTAACTCATTTCTCATAATGACATTCCTTTTGTTGCCCCAGTAATAACTCTGCTAAATGGAGAGAGAATTATACATCTTGGGCATCAGTATTGCTAAAGTGTATTGCAAACCACTGCTGTAGATTCATAAACAAGCTGCACTGATCTTTACCTGTCATCCTATGTAATGTTCTCCAGCTATAGTTATTAAAGTGTGGTACCTGCATTGAGCTGGAAGGAAGCTTTAGTCTCTTGTCCATACAGAGATGTAAAAAGGCTCCAGGGACCCTTGAGTGAGCTGCTTAGACCTTGGATTTGCATCCACTGACTTAACTGGTATGAAGGGTGGTGGTTCTGTGCTGGTCTAAACAGCAAGATGGGAGTGAGGAGGATTTTGCCCCACTCACCCCAGTGATTTTACTACTGCTGCAGTGATTTTACTATCATTTTGTGTTTCTTCTCATCATCTAGCCTATTGTTAACAGCCTACTGAGATCTGACATTAAATAATTGTCTCCATAGATAAATATACTGTCAGAAATCCTCCTTCCATTGGTTTAAAATAGAGCATGCATTTCTTAGTGTGTGTATATCACTAAAAATAAGCTATCTAGGAGTAAATGAGACTGACTTAGAAATCAGGGGAGCTTTCAGATTGCTGCTTTTTCAGCAAGGGAGCAGAGCCAACTGACACAATCCAGCCTGCAGGGAGGAGGATGTATCTGCATCACTGGCACGCTCCTGCTCATCAGGTCACATTCAAGCCAGAGCTGCGGATGCTGCTCCCATCCCTTAGAATGATGAGGATGTGAACCACAAGCACATAGGAATTCTGCATTGGGTTTGACTTTGTGCATATCCTTTCCCTGTGCAAACCCTCAGTGCACAGTTCTGTGGCAGAATGTCGGTGTAGATGCGTTAGAGAAGAGCACATGTAATAGGTGCCGAAGATACAATTTCAGCCCAAAGAAAATGACACATCCTCATTCCGGCTGACAACCAAAACGGTGCCATGCTTGAAACAGGGATGCTGCACTGTTTACCTGGAAAAGCTATTAGATGTATGATGGAGAGCAAATAGCACTTAGCATTTTGTATAAGAAGTTGACAGGTTTTAAAGCATTTCCTTCGGCTTTTGCTTTTTGAATAGAAAAATCAAATCACCAGCAAGAATGAGGCCCATCCATGCAGCCTGCTCTGCTTCCAGCAGGGAACATGCTGATGGCTCTGGTCAAGAAAGACTGAGAAGTCTTCAGTATTCCAGCACTTTTCTCACTGCTTCCCCAGGTTTTGTCCAAATCTTTGTTGCTGCTAATAATTTAGTGGTGTTATGAGGGCAATTAGCAAAAACTGTAGAAAACCAAGGTACATTTTGTCTTTATCAGGAGTATAATGAAACATAGAATCCCAGACTGGTTTGTGTTGGAAGGGACCTTAAAGCCCATCCAGCTCCAACCCCTGCCTAAGAGCTGACCTCAGTCTCCCCTCTGGCAGCTTAAAGCCATTCCCCCCTGCCCCAGTTCCTCTACAGACCTCCACAGCCTCCTTTCTTCCGACACCCAGGACTCCCCTTAGGTATACAGTAGCCCATTTAGGGATGCAAGGGGAACCAGGCAGAGCCCTAGCGCACAGCACCATGGCACACCATGTCCTGCTTCTTGTCAGAAAGCAGGGAGAACTTGTATTCAGCAGCAGGATGTGGAACAAAGAGCTTACTAATGAAAGCACAGAATACAAGCAGAGGATGCTAGTTCAAGTGTCCAACATACTTTACATTCAATTTCTTTCCTGATGAAAGCAGTTCCAAGTTAAAACATCTAGGTTCGAGGTGGAACTTGTTTGTATGTTTTCAATGCTAACGTTTCTCCCAGGAAGCCAAGGAAGGGGAGGTGAGCTGTCTCGTTTCAAGTAGGCTGGCTGCAGCTACTGTACATTGAAATACTCATCTTTTCCTACTAATTGCTGTGTGGGAGTTATTCACAGAATGAAAGAACCTTTTGTATTCGCTATCATACGTACCACCTCAAAGACGTGGCCCCACTATACTTTGTTACTTCTCTGTGATCAGAGCAGGTTAGTATTTTACTCCATTAGCAATCATCAACAAACCTTTACTTGAAAGATACAGAGAAAGGCATTCAAAACTGAAACTAGGATTTGATTGTGCAGGCAAGTTACTGATTCAAACCCATCTGCTGAAAGCAAGCTCCCCTTTAATAGGAGGCAAGCATTAAACGTGCCTCTACATCTCTTTAGAGATCGAAATGTGAGTCAGCAGCGCCAACATGTCTGAGAGTAAAAACATAAAACTGGAAGGAAGATTTTAGGAAGCCGAGTCAAATTTCTTAATGTACAAGTGGATCAAAGTCCACCAAAGAAAAAGGAAGGAAAGATATCGATGGATGAACCTCGGCCCCCATGCGTGAGACAGCAAACAGGCTCAAAACTGTGGCTTGAAACTCAGTGGTATTGGTATTAGGTTCTGAGGATAAGAATCAAATGAAGAAAAGAGCACAGGGATGGCAGGAGGGTGTAAAGAGAAGAAAAAAGAGGATAGACATAGAGAAGGGGGATGATGAGCAAGAGGATGATTCCAGTCTGTTTAATCTTGGAAACACAGGGGGACCAACCCCTTATGTGGTCTGTAGTGCCACTCCACTGAATCCTAGAGCACCCTATAGGGATGGCTTAGCTCTCTAATTGTGTTCAGATTGATAACTCTACATTAGAAGTCATTCTTGAGACCAATGTTTATTTCTACATGCCACAAAAAAAGAACCATCCTTAGAGCATCAGAAGAAACCAAATTCAGTATCAATGAAGAAATGTTGCTTTCGGTGGATAGTGCAGCCCTGGATCCATGGGGAATATTCTTTGTGAGCAAGGATGTTTGGTCTCAGCGTCTTCTGGGAGCAAAGCACTGGGATTGGAATGAACTTCAGCTATGGAAAAGAATGAGAAGTTTTCCATTGTAATATTCCATTATAATCGATTTAGAAAGAAACGTGTCTGTGCAGAACTCACCCATTTAACCACTTTGGGGAAATAACAGAAATCAGCATGATTCCAAAAGCAACCAGGAATAGTTGGTGCTTAGGTCAGAATTCCTATAAAGGCATTCCTAATTCAGAACATGGGTTGGCAACAGTTTTTCCATCTTGGAAAGCAAAGCATCCTGCTGGGGTTCTCCTGCATTAACCAGACTCACAGCAGGTCCTATTCAGCTTTCTGTGCTCCCCAAGATCTTTGCTCTTTTGGGAGTGCATGGGAGAAGCTATAGTGCTCCCAGACTGGAAGTATGTCCCGTGAGAATGACAGCCAGTTGGCCCAGGGTAGAACACCTCTTAGGTGCTTAACTTGGAAACTGAGCAGAGAATTCCCTTCCTTTTGCAGAAGAGCCATACACCAGGATCTTAAGGACTTACTTAGTACAGCAAAAGCCATCTGTAATGTAGCCGTTAACCCCAAACTGAAGCCTGACAGAGACAAAGCAATGAAAGGGCTCATATTTATTGCCATTGGTTGGGATTTGGCAGTCACCACATGGAACCAGTGCACACTTTCTTACCCATCCTAAAATGTCTATCTGACGAAGTCCTGGGAAGGAAATCTGAACCATTGAACAAGGAACTTGTTCCATTAGAATTTAGATTCCACATAGCCTGGGATGGTGAGTTGGGATTTAAACACTTTGGTGTAGATCCAGCAGCTGCACCTGACCCATTCCAGTCTGAAATCAGAAAGTGGAAAGCACAGGAATAAACTTTTCTATATCCACATCTCAAACTATGATAAATCAGGGAGGAGAAATGTCTGTGCTTCCTTCTTGTGCCACCTTTGTACCTGCCTTGAAGCCATGGGTCCCTGTGCAGCACGATTCCTGCTGTTAGCTTTCACACTGGCTCTGTCACACTTGTACCAGCAATCCAGTCTTCTATTTCCTATTTAGTAATCCAATTTAATTTGGATAAGGCCATATCAAAGAATACAGAAGGTACACACTAAACCAACTGATTTATCTTCTCCTTTGTTACACCCATCTGTAATGTCAACTGCTTTTGATAGGCACACAGAGGTACTGAAGTCTCTAAGTACTTCCACATTTCTGTGCAGGATCAGCATTGCTGGGGAACAAGCTACAGCACTTGTTATTTCTTGCTGAGCTGGTAGATAGCAGAATCTTACAATGATTTAGGTTGGAAAGGACCTATGGTGGTTGTCACTTCAACCTCCTGTCTAGAGCGGGATCAGGTTGGTCAGGCCACTGTCATCTATTCAACTACTCTCCTGAAATGATGTGTTTCCTTATAAATAGTGGCAATTTCCATAGCTGCAACTTGTGTCCTTTGCCTCTTCTTGCTGTGCACCTATGAGAAGAGTCTCTTCTCTACAACCACCCCTCAGATAGCCAGGCAGTGGTTATATTCCCTTCTTCCCAGGCTGAGCAAAGCCTGCTCCTGCACATAAAAGTTAGTTACTGCTATTTCCAATATCCTACCTAAATCTCTGAATCTCAGCTTTATGAAGACTGGAAGGCCACCAAAATCATAGCTCACATAAGGGAACAGTGAATGTGAGAGCAGAATTAGAGACCAAGCTAAAACCTCTTTTGGTAATCTACATTTTACTGCGTGCTGTCACCCCACCATATCACATCAGCAACTAATGGAAGAGGATAAAGAGCTATTAAGGAACAATTATCCAATGCAATGCAGAAGAGCTGTAGAAGGGATCCTTATTTCTTAAAGCAGCAGGAGAAGACTTATGAGTGAAGCTAAACAAAGCCTCTCAGTGCTTACCAGAGTAGTTACTCCGCCGACATCTGCCCCAGCAGAAGTGTACTTTGCACTGCTTCACTACTTCTTCCTTCATTATGCAGTGAAACACAAAGATAAAGAACCCTAAAGAAGTAAGCAGAGAAATTCACAGGGTTTCAGGTGGGTTCTCCAACCTGCTGCCCCTTTCCTACGTTTCCTGCATGCCACTCAGTTACCAGTAGTTACATGTGGGCAGAGATAGGTGGAACCTGGACCAGAATTGCACCAAGTCCTTCGTGCACATCTAAGGGCAATGGGAAGAGCTTTCTGCAGCTTTGGTATCAAAATAACCTGCAAGTCACTATAGATTCTATCAACCGTTTCTGTGCCCAGATGAAAAGGATTGTGTCACCCTGAAAAGGATGAATGTATTGGGACCCAGGTTTCACAGGCATGAGTTTGTGTCTTTAATAGCATATCTATCCCAGCAACACTATTTAAACACCACTATCATCCCACTGCAATGGAGCTTTCCCATTACAATAGCTAAACACTGTAACATAAAAGCCATATAACCTCTTCCCCATGCTTGAACTACATGATGATGCATATTTATTTCTGTTCCGTGGCCCTAAACTGTTGTATTTATAACAGTATTCCATTCAGATATTACCTTGCAAGGTGTTAAAGATGCTGAAGAGATATAAGAACAATATCCTCACTGCTCCCCAGGCAAAAAAGACAAAGCCCCAAGTTAAGCCCAAAAGGAACATCAAGCTGAAAGCACTTTTGAGGTCTTGCAGAAAACCTCGTTTCCAGAACCTGGATCTCTTGTGTGTCCTTGATTTCATGGAGTGGATTTGAAGGAGAACAGTGATGAACATGGCTGTGTTGATCAAAAATATTAAGAAGATGTAGGCCACAACGGAGATGTAAAACACTGTGTTCTTCTGAATCCAGCAGCTGCAAGAAAGGGAGGTACGTGTTCAGTGGGGAGTTCTGTGAGCAGTGAAACAAAGGAAGCCTGGTTCTCAATATAAGTGCCTCTTATGGTTGTCCAAACCCTAGCAAGGAGGATTCCCTAAAGGCCATCACTTCCCCTCAGTAAGGACATCCATAGAATCTCCACACTTGCCTTTCTTACAGATGTTATAGAAATTCAACAACTTTGAGACTTTAATATTTCTGCCAAATTCAGATAAACCTGGCAATTGTTACACAACTTCATAATGTAACTAATATACTAATGTTAGTAAATATAATTCTTATTATACTATTATTAATAATTAACTTCATCCGGGACTGTAGTGAGCAAGGGCCAATGGGTTCAAACTGAAACAGGAGGAGTTCAGGTTGGAGATAAGGCAGAAGCTCTTCCCTGTGAGGGTGCTGAGGCGCTGGCACAGGGTGCCCAGAGACGCTGTGGCTGCCCCATCCCTGGCAGTGCTCAAGGCCAGGTTGGACACAAGGGCTTGGAGCAAGCTGCTCCAGTGGAAGGGGTCCATGGCCATGGCAGGGGTTGTAACTGGATGATCTTAAGATCCTTTCCAACCCAAACCAGGCTGGGATTCTATGATTCCACAAACACAAAGAAACCCTGCCTTAGGAAAACTGAGTTAAATACCACTTCATTAGGATAACACAGAGATGAGCCCTTGGTTAGCTTTTCCTCAGGCATAAGTGAGTTTTACTGCCTTTTTTGCTAGAGATGGGTAACAGTTTTCCCTCTGAGGTGTCCTAGGTGTGTGTTGCCTCTGTGATGGGATAGAATTCAAATATTCCAGGTAATCTTCCCCAACAAGTGATCAGATTGTGCCAAACAGAAAGCAGGGGAAAAAAATGGAGCATTCTTTACTTTAAAATCCTTCTCTAAAAAGGATGAAAGAATGCAGCCTTTTCCCACTGGAAAAGGGAGGATGGTGAGATGAGGTCTATAAAAGACTTGGAAATGATGAAGAGACAGTGACTGTGAATTGACATTAAAAAACAAACAGAAGCAAATGTGCAAAATCCAAAGCAATTATTCTGCTTTTAGGTTTTACCAGAAACCTACAGGATGAAGGAGCAGATACAAATGAGACTGAGTTATACATGAGAATGAGACGTATACATCAGACTGAGCTAATGTCTTGTAAAGAAAGAGATTTCCCAGAAAGTGCACATGGAGTTGACTGGCAGAAGCCCTCCCTGTCCTCAAGCCCAGTCCACTGGTGTGAGAGTTACTCCATGTAGTAGCTGTACATCCAGACTGATCCAATGAACCAGAACCATTAAAAGGAGAGGATGAAGATGGGGGAGAAAAGACAGAAGTCAGAGAAGAGTTGTTCTGGTTATTTCTTGTGTTTTTTGGATACTTTGGCCACCAAAAAGCTTATACTTACAAATTGCTGAATGGATTGCTCTCTGAGAGTGATCCATCACCATAGAAGTCTTTATTTATAATGAGCACAATAGAAATGACAAGAGCTGGTATTCCTAGTATGGAAGACAAGAGGAAAAGAAATACTTAGATTAATAAGAAAACATGGAGCCTATGGAAAGATGTCAGCTAATCCCTGACGGGTAATCACAGCAGACTCGTACATCTCTGGATCAAACCTTACCCCTAAGGATCCCTTTGAGACGAGTGGGATTCAATGCGTGGCGGAGCAGGCTTAATCTCCTTATTTATGTAAATTACAAATGAGTAGGCATGAAAATATCTGTGTTTGCAAAACGTTTGTGAGTGTTCAAACATCTCCAGAAGGGATCCAATCTGGTTCAACAAAATTAAGTGATTATTACAAACAGCAGCATCACGAGATAAGCAGGCTGCAGCATGTTGTGTTAAGATCCAATAGAGATGGATGTATTCCAGGCAGTGTCTTCCCTTCAGCCCACTTCCCATTTCCTGTCTTTCTTTCAGTCCTGGTTTTTCTGCTGGGGATGGCTGCCACCAACATCACCACCATGGATGGCTGAGAACTATTATGTGCCACCTGAGATCTAGGGATAAGGGTGATGACATTCAAAAGCCTAATAACTCCTTTAAAATGGCATCTCATGGCAACCCAAAAAACACAGACCAGATTCTGCTCTGGATCAGTGCCTGTGGTAACATCTCTTAAGAGCTGAGCCAGTATTTTGGGTTCTTTTGGTTATGTTTCTCCCAAACACGTCTCTGATGCTCAGTTCTTGGAGGAAAGATGAATGAGTTAAGTCCTCAGAAGAGTTATGAATGAGAGCCAAATCCACCCCCCATAGGGGATCTTGCATAGAATAGCAGGTAAAAAGCCTAGAGGAGGAGATTAAAATCACTTCTGAGCATCACCAGCGCAGAGGTGAAGGCTGTGGGCAGCTCATACTTCCTCAGACACACACACTGCTATGAGATGCCATGATAAAGCATCCCTGTAAGAGGGCAGGAGGGGTAGGGAAAGCAGTTCCTTATGCCCACTTCCACCTTTCCTTGCATATGACCATCCAGGGAGCAACGTATAACCTACAGAAGAGGAGAAGAGATGTGCTTACTTACCCCAGCCAGCAATAGAGCATTTCAGGATGTACTTTGGGACGTAGACATTGAAAACCTTGACAAGAGCCAAGTAAAACTGAACAGACTCCAGACACATCCATGTGAAAGCTGCAAGGAGGAAATAGTGGAGGAGCACAGCCACGGTGATGCAGAGAGCTGGCTGGTTGAAAGAGGCCAGCCAGGAATTGGTGAGGAAGACCACGTTCAGCATCAGCAGCGCAGCACAAAGGTTGAGCAGGAGTTTTGCAGGGTTGTCTCTCCGCAGCTTTCTAAAAGGAATGGGAAAGTCCACAGGGTTGTCATTGCAGGACTTATGTGGGGTGCATTCCCTAGTGCCAAGTAACACAAATGGGTGTTTGTTGTGTTACAGATTGGGCTCTTGGGCTATGAGATGAATGACAGAGATGCTGTGAGGGCTGGAGCAGCTCTGCTCTGGAGCCAGGCTGAGAGAGCTGGGCTGGGACAGCCTGGAGAAGAGAAGGCTCCTGAAGGGGAGACCTTAGAGCAGCTCCAGTGCCTAAAGGGGCTGCAGGAAACCTGGAGAGGGGCTTGGGACAAGGGATGTAGGGACAGGCCAAGGGGAATGGCTTGAACCTGCCCGAGGGGAGACTGAGCTGAGCTCTTAGGCAGAAGCTCTTCCCTGTGAGGGTGCTGAGGCGCTGGCACAGGGTGCCCAGAGAAGCTGTGGCTGCCCCATCCCTGGCAGTGCTCAAGGCCAGGTTGGACACAGGGGCTTGGAGCAAGCTGCTCCAGTGTGAGGTGTCCCTGCCCATGGCAGGGGTTGTGACTGGATGACTTTAAGGTCCCTTCCAACACAAACCAGGCTGGGATTCTGTGATTCTACAAGTTGTATCTACATGAGTGTTTTATATCAGTGGGTAAGTTTATGAAATGACTGAAAATGAGGAACATTGAAGTTGCTGAGCAGTTCAGACCAGTGCTTGTACTGAAGCGTGAGTATTTGGATCCCTCTTGTTTCACCCCAGTCATGGGTTAAAATAAAGCACCCTCCTATGCATCACAGCACCAAATATCACCAAACCTTCTGGTAGTTGCGTCAAATTCATTATTGCTAAAGGAGTAAAAAGGACATAGGAAAAAGGATCAGACTTACTCAAAGGCTAGATATGTCACCAGTGTTATACACAGAAACAGGGAAGAAGCACCACATCCTGCATAGCTTATCAGAGTTAATATTTGGTCCTGTGTGGTATCTATCTCTGTCCGGGCCAAGTCCTGTGTGACAAGATAAGAAATCACTGTTGTTTGCCATAACAGATAATGAAAATTGATTTCCACCTTTTCACATTGATAAAGAAATTTATTTCCATCCTGCTTACTGTGACTTTTGGAGGGTTTCCATTAATATTGCCATCGAAGGTAATAGGGATGGCATTACCCCATCGTGATGGCTGTATCCTGCTGGGATTAGACAACTTCAGCCTACTCAGCTTGCTCTGACCTTGCCTATCCCTTTGCATTTGGTGCAGCCTATTCTCAGGCAGTCATCTCAGGTTTTGACATTCAGCTTTTAGAGGCAGTTTTCCCTGTATTATAGATTAAAAATGACATCTCCCATGTTTATATGAAGCTTTCCTTTTTGACAGAGCACAGATTCTGCTTGCAGGAAGATGTAACTTCACTAGCTGCCACTGACAGGCAGTAAGCTTAACACAGGATTTCCAATGCAGCAAATAACACATTAACTGAGTTGATGACTGCAAAAGAAGTCCAAACTATGTCTGTAAAATGAATCTGCCTTGAAGCAAGTCTGTTGTCTAACAGCAAATCTAAATGTCTAATGAAGACATTAGAGGACTTTATACCATAACCAGTTATTATAACTGGTTTGTTTGTTAATGGTGATTTTGACAAACCTGCAGATAACTAACAGCTTGTACAGCTCTGAATCTCCCATCCCTCCCCAAAACTAGTGGTGACTTTGGTTAGTGCCGTGGGACTCTTGGAGATGATTCACACAATACTTACCAATAGGACTCCAAAATGGGTAAGATGGTTACAAAAACAGATTGTATAATTCCTATCTGTAGAATCCATTTCACACCCCGACGTATTCCAACCACCCAGTCCATCTGTGTAATAGAGAAAAAGGGAGTTTTAAGCAGAGAGTTAGTCATGCTCAGTCATTTATAGCTCTGCAGCCTGCAGAATGTGTGAATACGAGCTCAAGTTGGTACAGATTGCAGGGTCATTGAGCAGCACGCAAGTGAGATTTCACACAGGAGCACTTCTTCTGTAGTTGTCTGAGAATCTCAAAACTTGGATGAAAGCCTTTGCTGAATGCAGAAATACTTGAAGTCATTTCTATGCCTGCACACACAGAGAAAGCAAGAAGGTGAGGAAGAGTGTGCTGGACTAGATGACGCTGCAGGATGTGGGAACACAGAAGGCAAGGGCAGAGGGTAGCATCGAAAAAGCTAGATCTTCCCTGGTAAGATTAAGTTTATGTCCCTGTTTATGTGGCATGTATGACACATTCAGAACTCAGCTTCTGATCCTTAAAAATAGATATTCTAACACCAAGAAGTGCAGAGAAAACCTCTCCCACGTGTTCTGAGTTAACCCAATACACAGTTCCCTTTTCCTCTCTCAAAGAACCATATTCAAGACTTAACCCCAGCAAAGCCCCACTGACTTCCCTGAAGTAACTACAAGAAATCATCTCACATTTCCTTTCGTTTCTGCTTTTATTTCTTTAGGCTAAGTCTTCTTATTCATGTGGATGCACCTCTGTACAGTGCCACACATGTCCCCTACTGACAACACTGAATCCTGAGGTATCAACAACAATCAGCGGCACAGTCTCAACAGGACACCCTCAAAGCTGTAAGCTGCAACGTCAAGGAGCCAAAGGCTCTGTGCTGCTGGAGACAGATCAAGCCTGAAGCTCTGTAAATAACACTTACTGTTCTTCTCGAAGTCCCAAAAGACACAGTGCACCGCTGCATCCCCCTGGAAGCAGAGAAAAAGGAGGCTGTGACATTCAGTCAGCATACCTATAACCCATCTGTACTTGCAGATGTGCAGGCCACGGGAGATACCAGCAGTTCATTGGGAATCAGATGGATTCTATAATCCCAGCCTGGTTTGGGTTGGAAGGGACCTTAAGGCTTATCCAGTTCCATCCCCCTGCCATGGGCAGGGGCACCCTCCACTAGAGCAGGTTGCTCCAAGCTGCTCCCAGTTTTCACCTTGCCCTTTACCAAGGGAAATGCCAGGATTCAGTGATTTTCCCAGTTTTAGCAGCCTTCCTCTATCTTGTAGTGTTTAAGGACAGCAGAAAGTCTGACAGGTTGTCCAGTTTAGACCAATTCCTATGTCTAATCTCAGTGGCTTCATGTGCTAGCGGAGATGTCATACCAAATTACCAGTGAAGTTCACAAGTTATGACTAAGACTACAATAACAAGCTGAGATGTTACACAATAAACCCCCACAGTTCTCAGCTTCTATTTTACAATGTCTATGTTCCCATTCTGAAGCCAGGCACGGAAGACACGTAAGAGCTGAACAGATATAAATGGGTATCCAAAGCAGTGTTTTCTCTTGGGGACATTCTAGTTTATTACTCATGATGCTGCAACAAACTTCCCCAAGGCACAGATTCATTTTCTTTTATGATAGTATTAATAAAGTTTAATAAAGCACAGAGTTTCCAGGAAGCCACCCTAACAGATAAGCTGATAAGATCAGTGATCTGCAGACTGTCAAATATAATGAGGCAGAGAGCCAAAGATGTAGGTTAGGATAATATTCCATTAAATATTTAATTAGGATAGTTTTAAAAGGTCAAGGAAAAAAGCCCAAGAGGTGCCAGATGGTGGAGTAAAAGTGATGGAAGAGGGGGGGGTATCTAGATGAAGTCTCTGGGTACACAGATAATCTGCTAGAACTGGATGGAAGGAGCTTATTGCCATAAAAGCAGCATTCTCAAGCTCTCATTAACTTAATCACATTCATCTCATGGACTAATTTGGTTCTGCTTTTAGTTTGCAATATATTCATGTGGAGGCTGGGCCATAAAGGTGGGCAGCGCACAAATGCTAAGGGGGAACTCGGTCACCAAGCTTGAGCTGTGCCCATTTAAAAATAACTTAAGGTAGATTTTAGTTTCAAAACATCATTTTGAAACCAAAGAAATTAATTTTGAAGATCTCTCTGCAATGTTTTGATTTTTTTTTCTTTTAATTTGCCTCTTTTGGTGACTAAACCAATACACTGAATTTCGAGCAACTACAAATGGTTTCAGTCAAATCCAAAACCTGCAGTTCTTCAGCAAATCAACTATTCCTGGAAAAAAATCAGATCAAAACAAAGAAACAATGAAATGGCTCTTGCTGCCAAGCATGGATTTAGTAGAGGGGAGATGCAAGCTTTACTAACTGCAGAATTAAACACTAATATCTTCATGGTCTGTGAGCATTTGGATTGATGATCAGAGAGAGGTCAGGCAGCAAAATGGTCTAAGCTCATTTGTCCTGTTGATGGTTTATTGTAAGGCCAAGTGAAATAGGCTCTACTTCAACATGTCTCTGATGAAATGAACACATCCTACCGTATTATGGTCTATGTGCTGAAGAGTAATAGTCACAGGCTCCTTAAGGGTCTGAACTGATGCGTTTTCAATGCTGGCACTCACAACATAAGTATTCAACCTCTCCTTCGTTAAGCTGCCATCCTGCAGTGGGAAAATACACACATGAAAAGTAAAACCCAAGCTCTTCCCTGCTTCCATTTCCTTCAGTTGTATTTTTTGGAACACATGGGATGCCTGATGTAATTTAGCCACTTGCTACTTCATTAGAAAATGTAATTAGTTGCATATTCAGGCATCAGCTGAAGCAGAACAGACTTTCAGATGCATCGTCTGGATTGAGAAAGCTGTATAATCATTTCAGTACATCAGAACATCCAGTTGTACATCATTAAGCTCATTAGACAGCAGACACAATGGGGAGTGCTGCTTCTGTGTGAAAAGCATTGCTCAGCACACTGTATTGCTCCATCATACCAAATGAAATGTCTCCTTTTCAAATCACATTCACCCACTCCCCCCCCCGAGATAAGAAAACAGCAAGTAGTAGAATAACCCTAAATGCTGTTATTTTAATGAAGACATAAATCTTGAAGTTATTTCAATGCTATTTGATACGTACTATGCATGTTCCTTAAGCAAAGGCTCAGTAACAGGGGAAGATTCAGGGGTGTTCTTTTCCTACAGAAGTATTAGAACAGCTTTACCTACAGGCAGTGAACACCAAGTTTGAGGTCTACAGACACCTCTCAGAGCATCCTTGCTGCAGAGATGGTTTTGCTCCCTGGGAACATTTTCCCTGCACAGTTCTTAGTGCTCCATCAGTCTGATGCTAAATGTGCCCAGAACAGATAAAAACTATTGGTTTTTTTCTTTAGCTCACATTAAGAACAGCAGAACTGATTCCTGCTGTGTTAGCATTTGGTAGGAGTTGTAGTTACCACAAAGAGTGAAGTAGTGCCGAAGAAGTTAAACTGGATCTTGGAATGCTTCTCTGGGTCAGAGTGCCTGATCCCGAGGAATTTCTTCAGTGATTCTGGCAAAAACACTGAGGCCAAGGCCTCTTTGAAAGGGTTTTCCTGGATGTTGATCTGCAGGGAAGAGAGATGATGGGTTCAGAGCTGCTTTCCTCAGGTCAAATATGCAATGGTACAACACAGCAGGATTGTCTGGTTGAGTCAGTGGTCCCCGAGGTGGTATTTTACTCTCACCTTGAGATCCAGGCCACTGTTGTAGGAGGTAACACCAAAGGCCAGCCCTCCAAATGTGCTGGGGTCTGGACGCGTCACCAGGAGAGCCATGGAAGTGGTTATGACCGATGTATTTCTTTCTGTGTAAGTCACCTTATAGCCCATCTCCTCAGTTGTCTTCAGGATACTTTACCAAGAGCAACAGCAAGAAGGAAAAGAAGAAAAAAGATACATCTCTTGAAATGTTCTGTTGGCTTCTTCATATGCATCCAGGAGAAGAGAAGCAGTTATAAACCTCTGCTGTGATTTATGACCACGAGGCGCAATCACTGGAGCAGAATGGGTCCATTAATGGGTGGATAGCATTTTGTCTGGCACAGGGTCAGACAATGGTTGAGTTCGCATGTTGTAAGCTTAAAGTCTGGTAGGTGAATGATACCCTCCTATGGGGACAACACAAGGGGGTTCTGGGAAGACCCAAGTCTAAATTCACACCCAGTCAAATACTGCATTTCATCTGGAAGGCAGTAACTTGTAAAACCTGCTGATTTGATTGTCTGCAGTCATCTAATTGTACCCCCAGGTGAAATATCAGAGCCAGAATGATATGGTCTGCAAGGGACCTCTGGAGTCCTGACATCCAGCTTCCTGCCTCCCCCAGGCAGAGAATACTTTAAACACAGGCCATTTGCTCAGGGTCTTGCCCAGGAAAGCTCTGGATATCACTGAGGATGGAGATTTCCAGGCTTTCCAGGCCCTGCTATCAGTGGGCTTTTTCTAAGTAGAGAGAAAAGGCTGGAATCTAAAGGAAGCAGTAAATTAAGGTTGCTTAATGCTCACAGGTGTTAAGCATCAGAGGCAGCTCCAGGTCTTGGTTGGCCTCCCTTAAGGCTATTCAGCATGTGCAAAAGGGATGCAAGAGAGCTGCCCCCAAGAGACTAAAGGAAAACCTTCCTGTCCTTCTTTGCTCTGGTGCTCTCTTCATGCATCATCAGTCCCAAACACCCTAGAGCTGCAAAGCCTAGAGTTCAACTGCCTCAGAATATGTGGGATGCAAAGTCTCTGCTGAGACCTGGAAGAAGCAGCGTAATAGCTCTCATGAGGATATCGTCATGGTGGGACTCAGAAGGCATCATCACAGTGGTTGTGCTCTTTGGTGCTTTAAAGTAAGGTCTGATTGATGGAGAAGTGAAAATAGCAAAGATTGGCATTTTGAAGGCACTATTATTACAATCTGCACCTACCAACTCATACCCCTAAAGATCAGGACTGCAGGGCCTATCAGAACATCATCTGTGTCCCTAAAACTCTGTATTTCATGGGAGAAATCACAGTAAACATTTCACTTAAACCCCCTCCCAGCCTATTTGAGAAGGCAGAGGTGTTGAGTGCTGGCAGCTATCACAGCCCCCTCTCCACACACTGCGGTGCAGTAGACTTTGAAGGGAGAGCATAAAGCCGACAGGATCACGATGCTGCTCACTGCTTTCTCCCTGACAGGTTTTCTAAGCTGTTTTTGGCTACTCCTCCTTGCAGCCTGCTGAGTTTGAAAAGGCAACGCAGAGGTGTCCAGTGCAAACAACTGGCTTCTTGCCTCCCCTATGCCTCACCTAGAACTTAAGTGGAAAGTTAACTTTCCTTGCTTTGAGTATTTCTTATTGACATTTCTTATTAAAGTATTGGTTTACCTTAAGAAAATCACTGATAATCAGGCTTTAAAATGAGAGATGCTGAGAGACTTCAATACAATGAATACAGCATCCTTACACTAGTGCTTAGCAGTGGTCAGTGCAATGTAGGGTAATCTCTCCTCTTTTGAGGCTCAGGCTGTGCAGTGAGAAGTGGGTAAGCTGCCATGGCCAGACCAGAGATGGGTGAACTCTGTACTTGCATTTGCCTTTGAAGAGGCTGGCAGTAGTTTTCTGAACAGACATTTCAAAACCAAGTGGTTGAGTTACCTTTAAATAGGCAGTTGAGTCACCTTTAAGATCTCAAAGGACTGAGATGTTTTCAGAGTTATCTAGCAACTTCCATTTTAGCATGGGTGAGGATCACGTAATGGATGTAGGATCCTAAATGTAGATTTGGAAGCCCTCAGTGCTGGGATGTGAAGATCACCTTGGAGATGAGGTGGCAGCTCAGCAATCTCTGCTCTGCCTCCAGACTGAGATGCCCCCAGAGAACAACCCTGATGGTGACTTCTGCAGAACTGGTGCTGATAAAAGCACCTTTGCCAACCAATTTGTACTGCTAAGAACCGCAAACCTGTTTAAGATCCAAGTATGGATGTTGCTAAGTCTTGTGGTGCTATTTTAATGGACTACTCCATGGTGCCATTGTAGCTTAGGAAGCCACTTCTAGGGGTTATCAGGAAGCCACTTCTGGGTGTTATCTTACTTACCTATTGGTCACTTTTCTCATGTTCTCATCTTCTACTTCTTGCAGCAAAATATAGTTTAGTATAGACAGTATGGACTCTGCAAGCGCCACGCTCACATCTGCAAGCCTTACAATCTCAGAAACTTTACTTGTGATGACTTCTAGTTCTTCCATTTGCAGGGTTGCATTTGGCAAGAGGTATAGAATCTGCTCTGCGACATCCTGTGCGTTCTCTGAGGGAAAAGAAGAACGTACAGGTGATTTACATGGCATAGCTCTCTGTCTAGCTGTACAGTCTAGCTATACAGCTCCAGGCCTCTATGTTAAAGCAAGGAATTGCTCTGCTTCTGTTCTCTTTCCATATGGATATAATGCTTCCGATCTACTACAGAGTTATGTCCTAAGAGTAGGTCAATGAGCCCTCAACATATCAGTGAAGCTGGCGAAAAGTAAAATCTGGATAGCTCAGCTTATGTTAAAGGAATCAGAATATTCTCACCTCCTTTTAGATTCTAAAGATTACCTGTAAACAACATTTACTTTTAGCTTTGGTCATGCTTACAAGCAGATTTACACAAGTTCTTCCTACCTGCCCAAATGCTGCTTAACTGGGACAGCAGCAAAAGCCATTTCTGAATGACAGTTTGAAAAGCTGTATTTGCCATTCACCATCTCCTCATCTCTCCACAGTGCTTTTATAGAAGCAGTTTTCCACCCGGGGACTCAGACAGCCCGCATGCAACTGCAAATCTCTTTCAAGGCTCTATTATTTGATGCCACTGCTGAGTAGGTGGATGAGCAATGGTATTGGTTTTGTTCACCATTCAAACAACTTGTACTGTTTGCATAGCTTAGCAAAGATATAATCAGGTGGTTAAAGGTCACCTTAGAGCTTACATGAATTACAGCACAAACTTTTCACTTCCATACACTAATCAGTGCTTCTTTGTACAACATTATCAACTACTTCAGTGCTGAAACAGAGCACAGACAGGCAAAACCTGTCACGTTATTCAGCAGTTATTCACTTTGTTCTAAATCAATCTCGGATTTCAGACAAGTCTTCAAAGTGATTGCTAAAGGATTTTGAAGCACCTGCAAAAAATCATCTACATTAAAAGCACTTTTAAGACGCCCAGGTGAGCAGGATGCACATAAAACAACCTTATTGCTTTGGTTCTTCAAATGTCTAACATAAGCATTACCTGAGTATAACTGTTTTTACTTGGATTCACTGTATCACTGAAGTATTTGGTGCCTTACCTTCTGTTATCATGATATCCTGGAGGTCTAAGATATTATTTGGGAGTTCTTCCAGTAATCTACATTCAGTCAAATCTGGTTTCCTCCAAAAAGCTTGCTCAAATTCAATATTAATTCCACTGAAAAAGGAAAGCAGTGTACATTGTTACAAGAAAATAAACATGTATTAATGGATGTTCCTCATGTTTCCCATTCAGGTACATTCGATATCATTACTTAGCCCCATTTTAAAACTGACTTACAAGCCAGATCTGACTTAGCACTCATTTAGCAGAGTGGGAGCAGAGCCCAAATGCCAGAGCAATTTGAAATGCATCTGGATGTACTGGAAGGCAGAGCTGTGAATGGATGGCACAAAACACTACTGGGCATATTTTCCCCTCCCTGCCCAAGCAGAGAGTCAAGTGCTGCTTGTGCTTGCTGCAGGTGATGAAGAGATGCAGGACTCCCATCTCCCGCAGCCTGTGCTGGAGCATCCCTGCACACTCCGCATCTTCCTTGGCACGGCGGTGCTGTGTGCCACGGCACGCTGCCATCTGCTTTCCCACCGCTCCGAGCTTGGCTCTCCCTCCCGTTTCCCATGCAGGAACCAAAAGGAGATGATTCTGTCACTCACCAGCTCCTCTCAGCAGACTGCAGAGGGTTTTTCCTGCAGCTCACCACCGCTTTGGCCGCTGGCTTTGTTAGTGGCCAGGAATAATTCCCCTTGTAGGTTGTGTGGGAAAAGCTTTCTGGACAATCCATGAGGGCTGAGGAAGAAACACACAGAATCCCTTTTGAAAGACAGAATAACTGGAAGGTAAACACCACCCCCCAACACACTGTTCTCTGGCCTCCTTTCCCGTTGGGAATGAGCTGTAACCTGCAGACTGGAGAGGAGCGTTTGACAAGTTTACTGGCTGCAAGAGAGCATCTTGCTGAAGTATTTCATCTGTTCTTCCACAGCCTTCTTCTCTTTTGCTTGGCAAGGTCAGTTTTCAGGTAAAGCGTTATTCTCCCAGCATCACCAACCATATTTAATGTCATAACATCCTTCAGGCTTCTCTAATCTTATCTGAAAGAGTTTTCACACTGCCCCTCGTTATCCCCTCAGTGTCCTTCCTCCAGGCTTTATTTGGCTGCAATAAATAGGTGATGTTTTGTAAGTCTTTGGTATAAGATGTGCTTCTGAAGTCAAGGTGCAGTCTTATAGCTCTTCTCTCTGGCTTGCTTCTGTGTTTTAAGGAGCAATAATAGAGACTGTAACCAAACCAACAAAGAGAGTGGGACTGGAGAACTTGAAGAGGGACTTTTCATAAGAGCAAGTAGTGATAGGACAAGAGGGAACAGCTTTGAACAGAAAGAGGGTAGACACAGGTTAGATATATGGAAGAAGTTCTTTACTGTGAGGGTGGGTAGTGTCCTCAGAATTACAAAGCACATGGTTTCCAATGAGCTCTTAATGAAGTATTATATTACCTATTGGCTTGACAGCCACATCTTCAGGTTTCACATACAAGGATAATAGTCCCTTTTCATAAGTGCCATTCAAGGATTGCTTGATCTTGAGACTCAGCACTTCTTGTGTTTCAAGTGATGTGGCCTTTATAATGGCTTTGCAGATGTAGCTACAAACATGATACACAAACAAGGCTACCATATTAGTAACATTCCACAATTAGAAGTGACTACAAAATTAAGGAGTAACCCAGAAAATTATATTGAATTGGATAATTTCTGTATGTATTTTGGTCACCAGAAGCGCAGTCCAATGGCAAATGTCACTTCTTATGCACACTAGTAGCTTATCACTGGAGGTGCTTTCTAAAGGATGAATTATTGGGAATGCAGATACAAGAATCTTTGTATAGTTTCTTGGTAAGTACCACAGGAGGCTTCCTGCTCATGTTATCTTGGCACAGGAACACCTTTGTCACAAGTAAGCACATATCAACCATGTTTTAAAGTCTGGGGTGAGCTAGGCATAAAATGATGCGGTGCTTGAGTACCCCTGTGCCCAACCAGAGGTGGCAGACACCAAGATCCCTGGAAAACTGTGGTTTAACTAACTGCTTTCAGTATCTCCTTTGGATTCCAGCTTTTTGTCCTCAAAACAGCTGGTATCTTCTGGGTAACTGTTTGCTGGCTTCAGGAGGTTTGGAATCACAGTATCACAGTATCACAGTAGGTTAGAGATTGGAAGGGACCTCAAAAGATCATCTAGTCCAATCCCCCTGCCGGAGCAGGAACACCTAGATAAGGTTACACAGGAACGTGTCCAGGCGGGTCTTGAATGTCTCCAAAGAAGGAGATTCCACAACCTCCCTGGGCAGCCTGTTCCAGTGTTCCGTCACCCTCACGAGAAGAAGTTTCTTCTCAGGTTTAAGTGGAACCTCTTGTGCTCCAATTTGTACCCCTTGTCCTTTCATTGTTTGCCACTGAGAAGAGCCTGCCTCCATCCTCGTGACACTCCCCCTTTCTATATTTATATACACTAATAAGGTCACCCCTCAATCTCCTCTTCTCCAAACCCAGCTCCCTCAGTCTTTCCTCATAAGGGAGATGCTCCACTCCCTTAATCATCTTAGTTGCCCTGTGCTGGACTCTCTCCAGCAGGTCCCTGTCCTTTTTAAACTGAGGGCCCAGAACTGGACACAATATTCCAGATGAGGTCTCACCAGGGCAGAGTAGAGGGGAAGGAGGACCTCTCTCGACCTACTAACCACCCCCCTTCTAATACACCCAGGATGCCTTGGCCTTCTTGGCCACAAGGGCACAGTGTCGGCTCATGGTCACCCTGTCGTCCACCAGGCCCCCAGGTCCCTCTCCCCTACACTGCTCTCTAACAGGTCGTTCCCCAGCCTATACTGGAACCTGGGGTTGTTCCTGCCCAGATGCAGGACTCTACACTTTCCCTTGTTATATTTCATCAAGTTATTCCCGCCCAGCTCTCCAGCCTGTCCAGGTCCCTCTGGATGGCAGCACAGCCTTCTGGCGTGTCGGCCACCCCTCCCAGCTTAGTGTCATCAGCAAACTTGCTGATAGTACACTCAATTCCCTCATCTAAATCGTTAATGAATATATTAAATAATGTGAATGAATGACTGTGTCTCTCTTTGGGTGGCTTCAGGCAAGGCAGAAAGATGCAAAGAGGCAGCTCTCAGTTATAGATAGATCATCTCAATGGACCTTTAATTTAACCAGGGGCAAAGAAGTGAGATCTCCTTAGGACAGGGATGTTTCAAGTGTTCCCAACTCACTCCCACCTCTACATGACTGTTCCCCACTAAGCATGGCCTTTGTAAGCCATCTGCAGCCACTCAACTGTGATGGGAACCCAGCTCCCCTGCCTTTTCTGGGCTGTGGTCAGAAGGCAATAGGATGTCCTGCAGAAGAGGTGCAGGATTCATCCTGGCAGCTTCCTTGGGCATTGGCCCCAGGGAAGGATCTGAAGCCAACTCTTACATTACAGCACAAACCTCGCAGCTTGCTATGGAAGCGCATGGAGCCTCTTAGGGTATGCTGTACGAGAGAGAAACCTTGGATACTCAACACTTTTCCCCAAGTCAAGCATTACTGTGGTTCTCAGTCCACTTCTACTTTATATAGCTAAAGGTTCCACAATTACTCTGTTCCACAGTTACTAAAACAGCTGAGGGGGGGATAATTCCTCCTCACCCTAAAAATGAAATCAATACGAGCTACGGAAACCCAGTTCATAACCATGGGTCTTACCTTTGGGACATCTGCTTGAGCTTCACCTTCAGTTCGCATAGAAAGACACAGCAAGTTAGAAGCTGCTTAAAATAACTGATGCAAGTTGGATTTTAAGGCAGGCAAACAGCAGAAACTCAGAGTTCTCATTTAAAATAGAGGCTATGGCTTTAAATGCTATTGGGGGCTGACTCTCTGAAGTAGCCTTTGTTTCATAGGACTTCTAGAGGTACATCAGGATAAAAGAACTTCAGAGTGCATCAATGCTGCCTCAAGCAGAGAGCGCAGAACGTATCAGTCTCTACTGGGACACACTGGCTTTCCAGCCCAGCTCTTTAAATGGGGTACATCTACTAGATTGAAGGTAAATATTAAGCCACACAACTGTTATATCCTCCCTGAAGAGATAAGAAAAAGTAAGTTTTTAACTCAAAACTAACAAATTACTTACCTGAGGCCTGTTATAGACATTGCTTTGTGGATAATTACCCCTGCAAGCAAAAAGGAATAGAATCATTATTTCAGAGCAAGCATATAACATGCCCCATTCTGCTATCACCTAAAGGCTTTATCTCATGACCACGAGGAGCCAGACCTTGAAGCTGAGGAGTGATCTTGAACCCAGCATAGGTGTAGCTACAGAAATCCCCAAGGCCAAGCGCTGTAACAGATATGCACCCTGACAAAAGAAATGCTTCTTCCAGAATGGGATCTCCCCCTTATGATTTCTGAATTGGCTTCCCCCCATGTAAGCAGTGCAGTGCGTGGCTGCGTTGTCAGTTGTACAGCAAACAGTAACTGGGAGTCGGAGAAGAAAGTTGGAAGTCGAAATATGCATGAAGTAACACCTCCCTGGGCAACCCATTCCAGTGCCTCACCACCCTAACAGGAAAGAATTTCCTCTTTATATCCAATCTAAACTTCCCCTGTTTCAGTTCTAACCCATTACCCCTTGTCCTGTCACTGCAGTCCCTAATGAAGAGTCCCTCTCCAGCATCCTTGTAGCCCCCTTCAGACACTGGAAGCTGCTCTGAGGTCTCCACGCAGCTTCTCTTCTCCAGGCTGAACAGCCCCACTTCTCTTAGCCTGTCTTCATATGGGATAAAGCTGGATTGGGCTGAAAGCTGTGACCTAGAGGAGTGTTGAGCAGCAATGCATTGCTTCTGAGCAGGGTTTGGGAACTATAATATCCTTTCATTAGACACTGCCATGCAAGAGCCAGCGTGTACCTGCTTACACAAACTAGACCCTCACTGTGAGGATGGATGTGACCTCTTCACACTCACAAGCAACCCCCCCATGGCAGGGGGGTTGGAACTTGATGATCTCAAGGTCCTTTCCAACCCTAACTATTCTATGATTCTATGAAACAGGGCTTCAGCAGCTCTAGCAGCCTTGCATTAGGCAGGATATGTATTTTGAGGTCAATGAGGCCAGTAAGCAAAATGTGAGTGTTCTATGTGATCATACAGCTCGGGGGGGCTGGTTTCCACCCTTGCCACAGAACCGGTCATTTGGAGCCCGGCTGCAATTTCACTCACAGGGCAGAGGGTGGAGAGAGCCAGAGGCTTACCTGACTTTAAAGTTGGGCACAACAAATTCTTCTCCAGTAAATATGACACGGAACTGGAAAGAAAACAATGACATTTTTATTAACTTGATTTATTGACACTTTTTCTATTTGAATTGCCATCGAAATGTCTAAATCCCAATGAAAATGGCTGCAGATTTTGGCACAATGTCAGCACTTTTCCCTTCCTTCAGAATTTCACTTTATCCTGTTCAAAGCATGCTGGATAACGTGATTCTGAGACTCCACCGCAGCGTTCCATGGATACTCATTCCTGTGTGGTCCCACCAGTTTACCTGCTGCACCGGCTGTCCTCCTCATCTGATACTTGCTAGAAAGACATGAGAGTGAGAAAAGAAAGCTACTCACCCAGTTTTCGAGGAGGTTCCTTGCATCGTAGTAATCAGGAGCTCTCTCAGTTTTGTAGAAGAGGGAAAAGTTCATATCAGTGCTAAAGAAGCTGACTGTAAGAAGAGAATGTAAGTGAGATGCGCCCCGTAGGAGGTGCCTGCACCACTTCCCACCTCCTCACCCCTCCATTGAACCATTCCCATGGTCACTGAGGCTCTTTGGGAAATCCCAGTGTCCCAGTCTAGCTTACTGCTGCATTGCTAGAAGCGTTATTAATGAGCCCAAGGGCCAAGTTATCACAGCTTAGGAAACAAGTTGAGGTTCATACTTGTGGATGCAGCAGGTTGGCTTTTACTGCCTGCAAGGAATGCATAGGAAGAGCTAGGAGGATCTGCTGCCAGACAATATCTTGCTAAACAGCAATGGCTTAAACATGTGACTGAGTCTTGAATTGTCACATCTATGGTGTCAGTGGTGACCATGTCAGCATTTAAAAGGGCCTCATTTAGCGCTTACCTGGAACAGTACCATAGGCACTACTGGTCGGAGGCAACGGGGCCAGCGTAGGAGCCCTTGTGGACGATGCTTCACTTGAGCCTGCTGAAAAGGACATTAAAAGGCCTTAGAATCCATAGTGGCAAAGGGGTAAGGAAGAGCAGAGCCCAGTTAAGAGAAGCACGAGTCCCTCAGCAAAGACCATCATAACAAAGAGCTACTGTTGTCCCACAGAGCTCTGTGGGATGAAAGCAGTGGGGGAAGTACACCTGCACATGGAGTTTTCTATGTGTCCAGAGATGACTACAGCATAAGAAGGGAGAAAACAGGATTGACAGAGTTTAGCTCACAAGGAAGAGCAGGGCTCATGCACCATTATCTGATTCATTGCTTGTGTTGAAGAGCCATTATCTCTCTGTTCCCTTCTTGCTTGTGTAACCTGTGCCAGCCTCCAAGAAAGGAGCTTGTCAAGCACTGAGTGCTATGCAACAATGCGATGCGAGATGAACAGTGATATTCATGGTCAATGGTTTAATGCTAACCTGGCATAAGGGTCCCCATTACAGATACCAGCTATCCTGCCTGTTGTCTTCCAAGTAAAGGATTCCAAGAACTCATCTGTGGCTGATGTCCTTGAAGTGAATCACCTTGTCAAACCAGATAGGGCTTTTGCATTTCACATGGGATCTGCCACCTCACCGGGCAGACAGGGACAAAACAGGTCACGTTTGTCACAGGTACTACAGCAAACGGCAGGGAACCGAATCACCAGCTAACATTACAAGCCTTGGCCTTGGAAGGTCAGCAGGATCACCACAGTTTGCTCTGCAGGTCCTGTTTTCTTCCTATGCTGGTGCTTTGTGGTTTTCTCTTCAGTCAAATGGCTGAGACTTCACATTCTAGGTCTGACTAAGAGGAATAAACTTCACACAAAGCCAGATGTCTGTGAATAAGGAGTGTGATTGGAAATCAGGAGGATAAGGCTGTCCTTCAGAAGACATTGTTTTCTCTACAGGAGTTCAAGGGAAGGAGAATCACAGTGCTTAAAATGTAACAGACCATTCAAATCAATGACCATCCCTTAGACTGGGTCAGACATACTCTGACCCATCCAAATCAATGACAATACATCCATGGACATAACAGATGCAGGGGCTATCAACAACTTGAAGCCTCCCGTTTTGATCCTAAATAGCTTCAAAATCTTTTGTAAAGCAGAAAGGGGAGCTGAAAGCAATGAAGCAAGAGGGCAATAAAGCCACTGAAGTCCAGCTCTGAGTTGCCCCTTGCAGACAGAGCTCAGACTCTTCAGTCTCCCATTGTTCCTCAATGGTGCCAGTCTGTGCTTTGGTGTCATCTCATGTTCTGGGACACAGCAGCTTCAGCCCCATCATAGCATCCTTAGCAGAGGTAGCACACTCAGAGCTTGTGGGGAGCTGAGCCAGGAGCTGCTCTGCTCCTGGAAGCAGTGGCATGGGGAGCAAGAAGGATGCTCCAAGGATCAGACTGCCCTGCAACCTGCTCCTGCAGAGCGGTGCCCTGTGCAGCACAGCCCCTGCTGCTCCCGGGGTGTACAGAGAGCTGTGGAACCAGGCAGCCCCCTTCGCCCATGCTGCTTGACGGAGCTGAGGTTTTCCTTTGGACACCTCTTTACTCAGGCCTGTTGCTTCTGAGACAGTACTGAACTGCTGGGGAAGAAAGAGAACTGATTTACTCTGCTTTACTCTTGCCTAAAACCCTGGCAAGCCCAGGAGCAAGCTGCTGCCCTGCCGTTTCAAAGCCATTGCCTGCAATAGGTCAGAAACAGGACCTGACAGAATGGGTGTTTGCTGGTTCTTTACTTAGAAGAGATCCAAAGGGTTAGGTGGTGGAGCTGCAAGGTAGATCTAGATCCTCAATACACAGACCTCCTACCAATAGCCACTAACACTGCTTGACATACACATGAATACGCAGAGAACAAGGAGACAGAAGTATCTACTTAGCTACAAGCAAAACCCTCGAGGCAAAGGAAAACAGCTCCTCTAAGGACCCAGAATGAAGGGGATGTGGTTTCCCTTCAGCCCTCCCCATCCTCACAACACATGAGGACACAAAGAGCAAACCCCAGAGTACCTGACCCTCAGATGTTCCAGCATCCCCAGTGACTCTACTCCCACAGTTCAAACCTGCAGTGGAAACCCGGGTGCCTTCCTGTGGTGTGAAGCTGCAGAAATGGGTTGGTTCTGGGAGCTCCAGTGTAATGCTACAGATAATGAACCCCTGGTTTCAAGCTGATAGAAAATGAGTGTCTTGTTACTGGCTTTATTTAAGAGCTGCTGTCATAGAAGCAGTGTGATGGGAGCACAGGAGGCCTGCACGCCCTGTCACTGGAATAACTCCTTTCTTCTTTCCTTCCAGAAACACAGACATGATATTAGGCTAGGGTTTCTCAAGCCATAAACCAAGCTGTTTGTACAGCCAGGGCTGAACTTGCTCTTCTGGCTGTGTCAGAGCTGCAGATCCCCTCCTGATAAGAGGAATCTGCATGGAGCTGGGTGATTACAGGCTCCACCCTGCTCCTGTTATCAGCGTGATGCTTCAGAACCCATGGCCTCAGGGGTGATGTCTGGTATCACCCAGGATGAAGCAGAAGATAATAGAGGAAAAGATAACATAGAAAAACCAAAGCCGGGGCTCATTAGAAAGGGGAATGTGCCCCACTGAGTGCTGTGCTCATGTCCCAACAAACAAAGCACAAGGACAACTCCACAGATCCTCATTTCCTTCTTTTTCCTATTATCACCTGAAGAAAAAACCTCAAATCTGTTTATTCCCAACAGGCAGGTGTGGGACCAGCCACCTGCATCCTGCAACTTCATTTGCTTCCATTAACATGCATGTAATCCCATTCATGAAACAAGGGCTAAAGCGAGGACAGATGGGGTCTGCAGCACCAGAAATACTGGGCCGTTGGCATTTCTCAAGCCCTACGCATGGATTCTGGTTTGGTAACTTAATAAATGGTTTCTTTGGCATCCTGTGAGTGCACATAAATATGTATGTTTCCAATCAAAGAGCAGCAAAAATTAGGCCAGCCAGTAAGAGAGCTGCAATAATAAATAGATTTCTCCATGATAAGCACTCATGTTCAGGTATTTTAGATTCATCCCTCTCCCAGATTACTTCAAATTAAGAAGGAAATCAGGAATGGGTGTGTGGGTGAGCAGGGGAGGATGAGCTGAAGACTGAGCCAGTGAGAGGATGGGAACACACACTTTGCTTTCAGCAAAGGCCCAGCTGAGCTGCAGAAGTGAAGGATCATCTCCAAGAGCTCTGGGTGAAATCAAAGGCAGGGCAATGCCTTTACTCCTGCTCTCAAGCAAAGCCAGTGCAGTCGCTGTGATAACTGTATTGCTTATAAGAGGTCCACACACCTCGTTAAGGATGCTTCCTGCTGCTTTTCCCTCACTTTGCCTAAATGAGTCCTGCCTTCCCAAACCAAAGCAGGTTCCCCCCTTCCCAGCACCACTGCCTAAACTATCAAGGTGAACCAAGCAATGCACAGCTCTCCAAACAACATCTATACGCACTACAAGCAAACCTCGCAGCTAGTAATGGTTATAGGGCATCACTAACATGACATGAGCATTGAAATGGCACTTCCCCAGGACATTTCATTTCAGAGCAACACTTGAGCACAGCTATTTCTTACATGCAAACTCAATAGGTATGGATTGTCCATATGGGATCACATGAACTACAGCTGAGTGCAGCTTCCCTTATCTGAAAGGCAGGATGTAAATCTCAGTGTGTCTCTACACCACTCACTGTTATCCCTACCTCATGTACCATCAGCATGCAGTAGTTAGCTTATGAATTTGAATTAAGGAGTAGATTTCTAGTGGAAGCAAAGGTCTTGCCAAGATCTGACCCCTGGCAGATTCCCAAACACGATTAAGTTGTATCTCTATAACCAGGACTTCAGAACAGTCATCTTAGTGATTGCTCCTGGGAAAATACCTGACTCCAGTAACCCTTCCCACTGTGTGGAACGCTGTGGATGCAGCAGTTCAGGGCACTGGAAGCAAGAGTAACCTGTGGGCATGCTGGTGTAGGTCACCACTTGTGAGCCATGCTGTGGTTCTCCTTGAGGATAAGAAGAGCCAGCATTTTCCAGACTGAATGCCCAGTTCAGGCTGCACTGGAGGATCCCAACCAGAGGAAGTCACTCAGCTCTTGGGGATTGCTTTTAGAGGGGAAAAGTGCTTTGAAAAGGCTTTGCCCTTAGGAAGCCTCTCTCTAATGTGCTTTGTCTCATTAGGAAGTTGCTCTGATTCAGGTTATTGGGTTTGAAAAATCAAAGTCCAGGAGCACTGAGTGGAGGCTTTGATTTTAGGTGCTAAACTGTTCATCAGCAAGCATGACTAAGGCTCCCCCAGCTCCGTGCCAAGACAAGCACAGGCCTTTCCCACAGAGAGAATGGCCCAAGGGCAAAGGCTTTAACTGGAAAAGGGAAACTGAGGCTTCCTCCTCATCAGATCAAATCCTGCTTGAATTGGGGGACACAAGTGGGGGAATAGCACCTACAATAGGCAGTGAACAAAGAGGAATGCCTGGGTAAAGGCAATGGGGCAGGTTGTCATTTACAGCAATTGTCGTGAGTGTCCGTGTTCTTTGGTGCAGAACAAGTGAGTGTGCAATGAGGGAGTGGGGGGAAATCCCTCCCAGCACAGGATGCAGCAGCAGTCAGGGATTTCCTGATGCTCTCCTCATTGCTTTGGGCCCTGGTTCCATGAAACCTGGAGCAGGAGATGGGAAAGTGCAATGGGAGCTGTGGTGAAGTCAGGGGGTGCTGCCCTCGATGGAGACATGCTGCTTGATGGGACAGGCCTTGAATTCTCAGACCAGACACCAGAAGTGAGCAATAATGTCATACTGTCCCTCCAATCTCCCTGAGAAGCCATCAGCTTACAGACAATTAATAAACATGCAGTAATCCTTATTGTGCAACACTGAATATCATGGCATGTCAATAGTTTTACATAAACGAGTCAGTTTGTCAATGTCAGGCCTCTGTTTTCATCCTTTGTAGTTTAAATGCCATGTAGTACATACAGACATCAGGATCGAATGATGAGATAACCCAAACCAGTGCTCCCTCATCCACAGCTTCCCTATCTGCTGTTCGGGGCGGGCAGGCAATGCTGTAAGCATGGCTACAACTGGTCTCAATCACAGCACCAGTGACTCAGAGGCTATTGTCCTTAGCAGTGCACGGTTCCCTACTCTCTGTGTGTGATCCCCAGTGCCACACAAGCCCCAGGAAGACAAAGCACTGCAGACACTCACCACAGCGCAGGTGATGGTCCGCAATGGGCAGGATGCTGCTGAAGTCCCAGTACTCTTCCTCCCAGCTGACCATGTTGCCCATGGCGCAGTCCAGCAGCTCTTCCTGCCCCAGCACATGGTCCCACAGTTGGAAGTAGTACAAGCTGCCAATGAAGCTGTTGCTCACCCTCACAACGAAGCCATCCTTTCTCTTGTGCAGATGCCCCAGCACCAGGCTCCCGTTGGGTTTCAAGCACCCAGCGCTGCCAATGGTTTCGCTATGCACGAGCTCACCGTTGCAGTAGACCTCCAGCAGTTGTCTCCTGGTGTCCCACGAGCAGCACACGCTGTACCACACAAAAAGGGCCAGGTCAATCTCAATGTCCCGCCTGGTGCCAAAAAGATAGAGCCTCAATTGCTTGTTTTCTCCAGAGAGTCCAAGCTCTAAATCATTGATGTCCAAGGAGGAGTTGTTAGCGTCATAGGAAAAGGCTGCCCAAGAGCTGACGTTGGCAGTCCGCTTTAGGTCAATGCATGCTGTGAATTGGCACAGCGGAGGGATGCTGAAGTTCACCAGAGACACAAACTTATCATTCCTTCCCAATAAATCCAGTCTTTCTCCATGCAGGTAACGTGCTTCTGTAAGCAAATGGCATTAGGAAAGAGGATAAGGAAGGGAAATGGCACTTCCGAAGGAAAAGCTGCAGTAGGACCTCATGCGGGTATTTCCTTGAGTTATGGGTAAAAAAAACACCCCCAAAAGTTAAAGTTTCTTCTATTTCTAGTTTCTGCTGCCTTTGAAATTGAATTCTGAGCCCACCCACACCACCAGGAAAGAGGAGTTTAATTCTGCAAGGGAACAGCTGAAGTGCTCAAGATGTGCCAAACAGGAATCAATACAGAATCCATGGCCAGAGTCCCTGTGGTTCTTTCCTCAGGCTGCAGAGAATTCATTTGGGCATCTTTTTTCTTCATGACTTTAAATAACCTCCTTATAGCTTTACATCTGACTCAAAAGGCTTTGCTGACAGAGGCAACTTCTCTGAGTAATACTAACCACAGCCCTACACAGGCAGTGAGTAACTTGCCCACAGGTAGCCCCTGCTCTGGCTGCAGAGCAGTAGCTGCAATGGCTCTAATTCAGCCAACCTCAGCCCCTGAGCAGCTTGGCAGAGCCACCAGCAAGCTGGGAAGGGTTTTGCACTCCATGTCCAGTGTCTGTTGTATATAACTGGACAGGAGGCAGCACACTGCAGTGCTACGTGTATCTCTACTCTGACTCCTGGATTTGCCATGGTCTCCTACTCGGTGAATCATAGAAGATCTCAGGTTAGAAAGGACCTTAAGATCACCCAGTTCCAACCCCCTGCCATGGGCAGGGACACCTCACCCAAGGCTTTATCCAGCCTGGCCTTGAACACTGCCAGGGATGGAGCATCCACAACCTCCCTGGGCAACCCATTCCAGTGCCTCACCACCCTCACAGTAAAGAACTTCTTCCTTATATCCAATCTAAACTTCCCCTGTTTAGTTTAAACCCATCACATCACTCCTTGCCCTATTCCTACAGCCCCTGATGAAGAGTCCCACTGAGGCCACCACCAGCCACAGCAAAGCCCCTTCACCAGGCAGGAATCTGTGCACATGCACAGAGCAGCACCAGTCCATAGGGAACACACTGAGACAGGAGCACAGGCACCAAAGGCAGGATCCAACCTTTCCTCTGCAGGGGTGAGACAGCTCCACATTCAACATCACTGCACTCATTGATCAGGCTTATATTGTAAGCCAGGCCCCTCCTATTCAGGTGATCCGCATCTCGTATCATTACACTCACATGTGCTTCACTAAGTCAGGGTATATTTCTCCTAGATAAGAACTGCCATTAGGTTGAGTCTTTTATAAGCATTTTAGGGGCTTTTTACTGTATGTTCCTCAAATGAATGTAAGCTTTTGCAAACCTGCCAGCCATGCACATCAGGTATTCTAACACCCCCCCCAGTATAACCTAACAATGAATCTCTGCTTCTACTAAGGGTTATACACCTCCTGGACTATGAAAGTAGCTGGTGCTTCTTCCCATTTGCTTCACACACTTTAAATTGGAGGCAAGAGGAAATGACCTGTTCACAGAGTCTAATGGTCTGTAGGTGATCCGAAGTGGTGCTGTGCTGTCCTGGTGTAACCTCGTGCACTCAAAGTGTGAGGAGGACATCCCTATTGCACATAACACTGCTATCGTTCATGTCTGTCTCAGCTCTAAAATCAGCTCCACTGTTGGGGAACAGGCACCCCCATCCTGGTCTGGCTTCCACCACTGCAACTCAGTGCTAAGATGGTGGTTTGCACCTAAGAGAATCATTTTCCCCTCGAGTGGGAGTACATAGGACTCAGAGCATCCATTCTATGGAAGGCCCATGGGTGGGATGGGTGTTTAGCACCTCTGCCTTAGTGGGAGTGCATGAAATCACAGGGCCAGTGATGGGTACTGTAGGAGAAGATCCATGATGGAGCTTTAGGGATGCAGGGAGGAGGGTGTAGCTCCACCAGTGAGTAATTCATCACAGCACAACAAAACTCAACAGCCGTCTTCATCTGTACTTTCCTACAGGGCCCCAAAGCGTAAGCAGCCAGTTCCCATGGGTTTCTGCAGGAGATGGGGATGCCGATGGGATTTACAGCTGGCAAAACCGGTACCCATTCCATGAATGACCCCAGCAGAGACACACTGAGAGACCCCCATTGCAAGGGTCTCATAGCAGACAGATTAGAAGCCTTTGGCCAAAGCTGCAGAAAGTGGGAACATTTGGCAAGACCTGGACCCGAATTCAGCCTTTTATTGTGGAGGTTGTGCTTGGGGAGAGCTCATCTTTCCTCAGGTTGTGCTGGAAGTGGCCCCAGTGCTGCAGGGTGCATTTGAGAAGCATGAATTATCTCTGTGCCCTGCATTGCTCTAGAGGAGAAGTCCTAGAATGAAACACAAAACTCAGCAGTGTTCTGCTGGGATTTATGGAGGAGTGAAAGGGTGGTGAGGGTGTTCATGAAGCCCAGTTTATTGGGCTTGTCCCAGGGCCTGAGTTGTGACTGGGGAGCTTGGCTCTGGCAGTAGCTCCATGCTTTTCCCAGAACACCATGGAATGGGTTAATGCACAGCTCCTGTTCTACAGTGACCAAAGCCTAACTAGAAGAAACCAAAGAGAAATGCAGGAGGACACCCAGGAAGGAAAGAAGGGAACAATGACAAAGCCAAGAGGTTTTCACCTCCAAACACGGGACAACATCTGCAATGCAGCCAAAACCTGACATTTCACTTGTTGCCATGTTTTCTCATCTCTACTGCCTCACCTGCAGCCCAGACTGAACCAGCATCTCAGGGTGTGCATTGTGGTAGGTCTGCAGGCCAGCACATACCCAGGCATGGACAAGGACCCCAGTAGCAGTTGCAGTGAGAAGGGAGAGGTCCAGAACAAGACTAACTGCTGCAATGGGGCAGAACAAGGGGGCAGTGGGCCCGTATATAGATACACATCCCTGAGGTTAACCCTAAGGGGGATCACTGTACCTGCCAGGAGGAAAACGTGAGCAGCAGCCATCAGGATGCAAAGAGCCTTGCCAGAAGAGTGTGGTCCGGGGCTACACGTGAACCTCTTCATTCTTGAGGCATGTTCTGAAAGAAGGATGTTGGTGAGCACTCCCTTAGCACACGCTTGGCTGAGGAGTTCAACCTGCTCCTGCAACCTGAAATACACAGGCCAGGAGCCAGCAGCACTCATTCCCCATGCCCAAGCTGAGTCACTGGATGAGGAGCCTCTGTAAAGGTCAGACAAGGCTGCGCAAACCCTCTGCTCTCTGTTGCCTTCTGAAAGGGATGAGGCTCATGCAGTTACACTGTGCATGTACCCTCTTCATCTGTCCCAGCTTGGAAAAGCTGTTAGCAACTTTCCACCTGCCTTAAGGGAAGGAGTCTGTGTGTGAAGTGGTGAGGTTCCTACAAGTGTGGGGAAAGCACAAAAGGAAAGCCCTAGCAGTGGGGTTAAGCTGTGGCTGCCCCATCCCTGACAGTGCTCAAGGCCAGGTTGGACACAGGGGCTTGGAGCAAGCTGCTCCAGTGGAAGGGGTCCCTGCCCGTGGCAGGGGTTGGAGCTGGAGGAGCTTTAAGGTCCCTGCCATCCCAAACCAGGCTGGGATTGTGTCATTCTCCCAACTGGGCTTTATCTACAAACTTCCATCAGTTTAATTGAGCCCTGGGACACACTGGGGAAGGGCTGGTTCCAGGGCAAAGCATCCACTGAACACTGCAAGCAAAATGCAAACGTGCCACTCTAAACTGGAATGAGTTTGTCCTGGTTTGTGCTTCAGTTTGACTGGAGGTGCTTTAAAGATGACTGCAGTTAAACCAGAGCCACCGAGTGCGCAGGCAGCCCCAAACTCACCTCTAGAGCCCTGCACGCTCCCCTGTGTGCTCTGCTTTCTCTACTGGCTTCAGCAGGCATCAAAGGCAAGGGCTTATTCTTGGTTTAGGACCACACTGGGTTAAATCTTCAGCCTCTAATGAGGTACATAAAAGGGCTGTAAAGAATGACCTAGATCCTCAGATAGTCCGAGTTGGCCAAGCTCCATTCAATGGATTTGCTTGGCTTGCATCAGATTCAGCCCTCACCTGGGGCTCCCTTAAGTAATAACTAAGGGTTAACACACTAAGGGTTACTACTCCCTGACCACTGCCAAAATAGAAGTTGTCCCTTTGTGTCCACTATGAAGGAGATAAACGTTAAAAAATCCTAAAAGCACCTGAGCTAATAACAACTTCCCCAAATTCCTCTTTACAAAACTTACAGCATTAGGAAGCATCACCCAGTCTTCCATTTAGTGCTGTGCCAACAAATCTCTTCCCGTGCCCTTCACCTTTCTTACTCCAGCACTGATTTGCTGACTTTGGCAGTAACACTTAAGGAACAAATCATTATGCTCCCAAGCCTGTGGTACCTGAACAGGAATTCTTCCATATTCCAGGCGGTTCATACTTTAAAAACACCATCGGCATTAAAGGTGCTGCTCAAAAACTCACCTCCCTGTGTAGCAAAATCAAGGTGGATTTCTGCCGAGTGCCTGTCCCGTTTCTTCTCTCAGATGCCAAAAGACCAGCAAAGAGAAATAGGATCAGATGGGATGTTGGGATGTTTCCAGTGGGTCAGGCGATGAAGAACAAGTGACTTCTGTTCTGAAATCACACTTCCTAGGTCCTGGAAAAGCTGTTGTGCCAACAAATCTCTTCTCCCAGCCTTCTCCTTTATTACTCCAGCAATGATTTGCTGACTTTGGAGTAACACTTAAGGAGCAAATCATTATGCTCCCAGCCGGCGGTACGTCACAGGGTTGTAATAAGTTTTGTCCAGAGCAAAGTCCACAACGCGGGGCATTATAAAACACAAATTAGAAGGAAACAACAGAACTGAACAGTTCTCCTTGTTTCTGATTCAAAAGTGACTGCACTAATGAATGCTAATTGTAATTTGCCCCCAAATAGCCTCTGTTTGTAACAGACAGCACTATAGCATCAACCAGGATCCTTCTTCTCTCCTGCAAGATACTAATCTCATTGCCAAGTTCAAAAGGAGTGGGATCGTGCATGCTTTGCCAGTGGCTCCCAGCAGTTCTGCTCCCTCCCTGGATCTTGTTAGGGACATAAGAGGAACTGGAAAGAGACTGGAAAAGCCCCCCCATGCTAAACACTGTGGTTCACCTGGCTCCTCCAGACCCCCTGCACCAGCACAGACCCTCTCCCAGCCAAGCACCCTCCTGCCGTGTACCATCCTCAGCCAGCAGGTTTTGCTCTCTTATGGGGAGATCCTATTCATGAGATCACTAGGCATGCACTCTCTCATCAAATCCATGCTGCACAGGTTCTGGTATTCACATAAACTCTTGCATGAAGAGCCTTTCTTCAAGCATGGGACTAAACAGGGCTTTTGTTCAAGGGTGGATGCTTTAGAAGTCATCTTTTTGTTACCCATTAAACCAGTATCATGGCATCATGGTATGGAAAGACGTTTTACTGCAACCCCAGTGCAGTTGAGGTTTATAGCCATTCTCTTCCTCTGCTTCCTCCATCTTCATCTCTCTGTTCCACAGGTTTTCAGTTCAGTTTGGGGTTTGCAGATGTTCAGCACAAGTTGGTTGTGCTTCACTAGAGATGATGGCAAAGGGGCTGGAGCGCCACATGAGGATCTCCTCTTTAACAGAGCCTGGTCTAATAACCAGCATCCTGCATCCATGTGGTCAAATCTTCCCTGGGAAGTTCTAGCGGGGGGGACACTTAGGATGCAGAATGGGAAAACAGGGGTTAAAGTGTGCAATGAGGAGCAGCAGATGAAGGCAGAACACATCCAGACTCACCAGGGCCACGCGTTCTGCTTTACTTTGGATATGCAAAGCTTTCTTGCCAGGAGGTTGCTATGGTGACTTTTCAGCTCTCCCAAACCCCCTCATACTGTAATTACATCTCAAAGCCCATGAGCTGGGAATCTTCCATGCCTGGGAGGAAGCACGGGGGTGGCTGACTCTTTGGGATGTTTCTCAACCAGCCCCTTTCCTTCTGAAACAAACCCCACGGATTCAGCTCCTTGTGCCTTTCACAGCTGCTCACAGGTTCCACACAACCTTCTTGTGACCCTCCCAGGACCTCCTTCAGTGAGTGCCTTTCTCAGAGCACCGTGAAGCATGTAAATACTATATGTGTTCTCGGAGACAGGCAGCAGGTAGCCCATGCAAACTCCTAGGTTACAAACTGGTTTTGACACAGAACTGAGTCTTTTTATTCCTTTCTCCTTTCAAAGCAAGGAGAAAAATCTTTTTTTTGACCATGATTTAGTGATTCTTGCAGTAGGGATTTTAGAAACCTTGGGAAAATCTTTATGATGCTGAGGGGTGTTCAAGAAATACAACTTACTGAATACAACCACAGCATCAGATTTACTCAGGCCTTTGCTGCAGGCTGATCCTAGAATGAGACACGTTTCATTCTGTTGGATTAAGTTATCCTGGCAGCATTCCCTGGGCACAGGCTTTTGATGTCTATCACTGGGGAAAAGATCATAGAATCATAGAATGGTTTGGGTTGGAAACGACCTTAAGATCACCCAGTTCCAACCCCCTGCCATGGGCAGGGACACCTCACACTAAACCATGGCACCCAAGGCTCTGTCCAACCTGGCCTTGAACACTGCCAGAGATGGAGCATTCACAGTTTCCTTGGGCAACCCATTCCAGTGCCTCACCACCCTCACAAGAAAGAATTTCCTCCTTATATCCAGCCTAAACTTCCCCTGTTTCAGTTTTAACCCATTACCCCTTGTCCTATCACTACAGTCCCTAATGAAGAGTCCCTCCCCAGCATCCCTATAGCCCTCCTTCAGATACTGGAAGCTGCTCTGAGGTCTCCACGCAGCCTTCTCTTTTCCAGGCTGAACAGCCCCAACTTTCTCACCCTGTCTCCATACAGGAGCTGCTCCAGCCCCTGAGCATCCTCATGGCCTCCTCTGGACTTGTTCCAACAGCTCCATGTCCTTTTGATGTTGAGGACACCAGAACTGCACACAATACCCCAAGACTGCCCCAGTTGTTACCTGCTTGCCCCCAGCTCATTGCCATGCCCTTGCTGAGATGCTGCTACTGCTCTTTAGCAGCCCTTCATTTTTCCTCCATGACCACAAAAGACGCAGCTGTAAAAGCTTTATCTGGACATCTGTTCTGCAGTGATCCTGATCCCACAAGCCGGAATTGCTGGGATGGAAAGTGCTACTTCCATGCAGCACACCTACACTCCCCTCCTTGGTTTAATGGCCCCAGAGTGACTGCAGCACGGAGACGGACACAGGCTGCAATGTCAGCCTCAGAACTGATTTTATTAGTGCTGTCGCCTCCTAATCCCCTGGAATTATGGATTGGGGAAATTGCCTCGAAAGTGATTTGGTGTTAGGAGGCTTTGGACCAGGTCCTTTATGGCTTCAGTGGTTAATGTGGTGTTAGACTCACCTTGTGGGATGTTTAAGTAGTGAAAGAGGAAATGGAAGGCAAGCTGAGTGGCTGTGGTGGGAGTTTAAATGATGGAGAAATAGATTGGTAGCAAACCCCGTGTGAAACGAAAAGACAGCTTCTCAAATGACCTGGTTAAACCTGGCTTGTCTCCACGGCATGCTGCTGTTAAAGACACCTGGTCTGCTCTGAAAGAGCTGCTCTGCACAAGCTGATCTACCACACTGGAGCGCAGGATGGGTCAGAAGCCCCAGGTGTATCCAAAAGGCCGATGTGAGCCTCTGGCAGGGACTCTGATCAAACCCCCTCACCTCTGTCACTGCAGTCATCTCCATGTGAAATGCTTGGGTGCATTTAGCTGCCCTTGATGAAGCTATCTCTGCCCTTAGTGCTTCCCCACCTTCCAGGAGAAGGCGATGCTCCTGGACACACACACACAGCTTGGCCTGGGGAGCGGGATGGAGGGACTATTCCCTTCTTTCCCTAGCTTCTCCAGTTCTCCCCACTGGAATCTCCATCTTGTACTTACTGGGAGATAAGGAGAAGTGGTGGTTCTTTTTTTTTTTTGCCACAAAACTTGGTTAAATACATCCCAAGATACTTTTTACCTGCAGAACTGAGTGACTTTAACCTTTGTCTTGAGAAGCACAAGGAGTAAGAAACGCATTAGAGTAAGGGTTCAGCGTCCTACTAGGTGAGCACAGCAAAAACGTACAATAGCAGAAGGGCTTACAGCCACATCCCATAGCAGTTGTGCACATAAGCCACCAACACAGCTTTTTTAAGGTATTTATGACACATAAGAGGGAGTATTTCTCATGGAATTCCATTTATATCTTACTCTGCACAAGTTCTTATCCTTCCTTTGTCGAAGGTGTAACCATGTTCCAGCCAGGACAAACCATGCAAGGGCTTAATTACACTGAAGAGCCCCATGTATCGCTTCTATTAAAGAAGTGAAAAGCATCCTTTGGTATCAGTGGAGACCGTTTGCTCCTCACACGGCATGAATCAGAGCGATGCTGCAGATGTTTGCAGACCGTGGGGACCGCTGGATGTCACTGTTGCCTCACACAAGTTGCGCACATGGACCTGCAAGGAAAATGCTGTCGTTGAAGCCAGAGTAAAAGCAGCAGGAAAAGGGCAGAAAGCTGCTTATTTTGTTCAAAAGCAGCGTTAAAAAGAAGGAGGAAAATCGGAAGGATCAGGGGGGGAATTTTGCTGAACCGAGGGTCATCGCCTTGGCTTTGCAGCTGGGTGAGCTCCAAGCCCAGCCAGGCTGCCCTGGAGAAGGTACCAAGGTGGAAGGAGAGCTGGATTGCATCCCTGTCAGGTACACAGTACTGCTTAATGTACGAGCCCCAGAGACTGGAGCCCGGCTCGTGGTGCTCTGTAATCCATCTGCAGAGCAGGAGAGCTGATCTGCAGCATCGCTCAGTCCTCCACTTCTTCAGCTCCTTCGTAACTATGGTCCTGACTAGGTCCTGGGCACACGTACAGTGCAGGGACAAAACCAGACAAACACAACACTGTCCAATGGGTGATCATTTTCACTCGTCCCTCCACAAGGCTGGAACCCCTTGTCAAAGAGATGTACGAACCATAAACCTGGCTCAGGCATCTCTTAATACCTTTAAAATCATTAGTGCCAGTGAGACAGAAGCTCTCTTGCACAGGAACACCAAAATCACAAACCAGGCCCAGTGCCTTTAATCTGTGCCAGGTTACACTGGAGATGCCCCCTTCCTATCTTTGGGATATTCACATAAGCACGATGGAGTAATGGTTCTCATCTGAGCTGAGCACTCATGTCCAGGCAGGAGGAGCTCGGGAAGATGGGGACATCGATAACAGCCTGTAGAAGGAGCTCTCTTCAAGTCACTGAGGTCTGAGTCTTTGACTTCTTCCTGCCTGGTGGTTGTGGGGTCAGGATAAAGCATCCCCTGCCCTGTATTGGCCCATTTGCTTTGGAAACATGCCCTGGACCCACTCTCTGCCTGCTCCTCCCCACATGCCAAGGGGCTTTCCCTCCTGCCCTTTCTATCCATCTGCTCCATCCACGCTGCAGAAGGGCATTAATCAGTGGTATTCCCAAACAGGGCTCCTGCTGGGATTCATTCCCAAACAGGGCTCCTGCATTTACAGCTTATCAAAGAATCACAGAGTGGTTTGGGTTGGAAGGGACCATCCAGTTCCAACCCCCTGCCACAGGCAGGGACACCTTCCATTAGAGCAGCTTGCTCCAAGCCCCTGTGTCCAACCTGGCCAG